CCGCGCTCCCACGCACTCCTCGCCGCCCCCGCCCCCCGCAGGGCCCGCAAAGACGCACAGCACGACCGCGACCGCGACCGCGAGTCCGCGTGGGGCAGGTCGAAGCTCCTCTCCCGCCTCCTCACGCGCGACGAGCGCGACGTCGCCCACGTCCGCACCATGCTCGCCCTCACCTCCGAGCGGCTCGCGCACGAGACGCGCCGCGCGGACGACGCGGAGGCCCGCATCGCGGACGTGCTGCACCAGTTCCGCGCGGCCCGCGAGACGGCGCTGCACGCCCAGGCGGACGCCGCGCGCGCGGCCGAGGAGGTGCGCCTGTACAAGCTGCGCCTCGACGAGGCGCAGCGCGAGATCTTCCGCGCGCAGGATGTGGTCGACCGCCTCGAGGCGGACCGGGCGGACGCAGAGGCGGAGGCGGCGCGCGCGCGGACGCTCGCGCGGCGGTACAAGGAGGAGCGGCTCGTTGCGCGCGCGCGGGAGGAGGGCCGGCAGCAGGGCTTCCAGGAGGGGCTGGCGCGGGGGCGGGACGTGGGCTACTACGAGGCCAGGGCCGGGCGCGAGCGCCCGCGCCAGAGGCAGTATCAGTATCGCCGTACCCCGGTGGTGGCGGAGGAGTATTCTGGGGAGTACGAGATGCACGACAATGACAATGACAATGACAATGACGACGACGACGACAATGGCAGTGGCAGCCAGCCGGAAGAGATCGTCCCCATCCCGCGCTCTCCGCAGCCGACGTGGAGGCCGCCCTCTCGGTGCGTAGTACGTCGCTCCATGACGGCCCTAACGTGAATGTCTCCCCCAGACTCTCGGACAGCAGAGCCACGCAGCGTAGCCCGCCCCGCGCGACGAACACCACCGTGTCAGTGTCAATGTCGGACGGCAGCCCCATAGCCGCACCCTCTCCCATCCGCCCCCCCTCGCGGCCCCCCGCTGCCACGCCCGAGCCCATCCCCATACAAGACCCCGGCCGCAGCCGCTCACGCGTGCGCAACGAGGGGCCCATCGTCCCCGTCCCCGTACACAACCCCGTGCCGTCGCCCTCGCACCCCCCGGTGGACGTCCCGCCGGACAACTACATCCCCTATATGAGCAGCGACCACATCATGGCCCTGCCGCCGCCGCACGAGCTCGCGCGGCCCGTCGCCCCGCGTTCGCCCAGCCCTGGCGCCGCGCGTGACGATCCTGGGGTTCGCTCACGCGACGACCTTGGGGTTCGCTCGCGCGACGACCTTGGGGTTCGCTCGCGCGACGATCCCGGGGTCCGCTCGCGTGACTTTGCGTACGCGCACGACGCGGCGCCCGCCCAGATGCAGCGCGCGATTCCTAACGCCCCTTTCTCCCCGCAGTCCAGGACGTCGACCAATATCTCGCAGTACGACCTCGTCAGCGCGCGCAACGCCAGATCGGCCGCGAGCGGAGGCGGAGGCGGAGGCGGCGGCAGGGACGCGCTCGCGGGCCTGCGGCAGATGATCGGCGCGGTGCGGCCGCAGTCGAGGAGCGAGAGGTCGCGCGTGCGCGAGAGAGAGAGGGCTGCGAGGGAGGACGTACGTCCCACCGAAGACCTCTGAGTGTTGCGTTATTCTGACGTCGGTGTTCTGCATGCATCCAAAGCGGCAGTCGATGTCGCCCCGGGGGCCGCGGCCCATGGACGACCCGCCAATACAGGTGTCAGAGCCTGTCAGACGCGAGCGGGAGTCGTCTTTGGAACGCCAGCGTAGATCGGGTGCTGGGACACCGCTAGAACGCTTGTTCAAGAAGCGCTTCCGGACGCGCCAGTCCGGAAGCAGCGGCGGTGTCCCCGACATCATGGTGGAGTCGCCAGTGAGTTCAAGTTCCATCTGGTCTCGGTACACTGTCATGCATGCTCACCCGTCTGCCCGCAATGCGACATAGACCACTGCCACGGTTTCCCGGACCTCGACGGTCGCCGCCGCCAACCAGCCGCATCTATTGAGTCCAGAGATGCACCAGCAGACCCTGCCGCCGCCCGCTGACGATGCAGATTTCTCTGACCCGCGGCCTCTGCCCCCGTTGCCCGAGTTCTACCTCACCACGCCCAGCGCCGTCGGCGTCTCAGATGCCAGTGAGCAGCAGCTGCCCGCCGGCTTCGTGCCCATGAGCGCCGATGACTTCCCAGACGACCCTGCAATGCAGTTCGCCTCGCCTAAACCACTGGCAGGCGCGAAGGGGCCCACTTACGAGGTCGCGCCAATACCCCCTGGCGTGGTCTATCCCGACCCGCCGGGGAGGCGGAGCGCCACGCCTGGAAGGAGGAGCGCTACGCCTGGGAGGAGGAGTACCACGCCCCACGCCGTGGCGCTCCCGCCGTCACCGTCCAGCACGCCGAGCCCCCGGCGCCGGCGCGGCAGCCTGAGCGGCCATTTGTCGCCCCTGTCGCTCCCGCTCGCGTTTGTGGCGTCTCCTTCTTCCCGTGCGCCGAGCGATTAGGACGATCCCGTGCGCCGAGTGATTGGGACGATTCTAGCATGTGGACAAGGAAATGGAAATGGAATACTCGAAGAACGGCACGTCCCCCCCCTCTCTGTAGCTCTAGCACTGTACTCTCCATCTCGTCTCCGGAGCGGACGCCCTGCGGGTGCCGCATATATAGCATAGTGGACTGGACTGCAGCCTGCGGGCTCCGCTAGCGCGTATTTGCGGGCATCTACGCCGCGGCGGCCTTGCGGGCTTGTATCTGTACCGATGTAGTGTATTTGTGGGTTGCGTGTCGTGCTCGTTGATGTGTATCACCACCACCGTGCTTTGGAGGCGACTGTCAGAGTGCCCGCTAACCAATTTGGCCCTCTGAGAGTCTGACTTGATATGGAACTCACTAGAGTCCTGCCAGTGTGCCTCCCCTTCCCCTCCATCTTTGCAGCTCAATGTATGGTACAAGTGTCCGAAAAGATTGTAAGTGATGCTTCATCCTTCAAAGGATACATGCCCCATCAGTGCGATCGATATGAAGAGCATGACAAAGTCTGTATGATGTTGATTGGCTCAAGTCCGTTGGTTCTGCAGAAATTCAAGGTGTGTAGTACGTCTTTCCATTTTCTCTGCTTCCTTCGGATCTGACTTGTGCCTTTACTGGGATGTTGCCTAGTGGTATGCTGCTAGAGAAAGCGGAAAGCGGCCTCGTCGACTATGATCATTGCCGCAGCTGATGGCCCAAGTTGGACGACATGGAGGCTTTTGATCCATGCGACTTCACACGTTCCAGGTATACATATTGTGAGCTTACGTCCCGGTGAGTACAATACTTATTAAACCAATCATGCTGCACAGATGAATCCCTGGCTGATACACTGCATGCTAGTACCTGATTTGCCTTGTGGCACATATGATACTGTCACTAACACCGACCATTGTGCGCCCCCTCTCTTGCGCATCAATCACTCAAAGCTCTGTCTTCCTTTGTCTCTACCTACCAGCGCAAAGTACGCTGTGTTGTCTACCAGCCGCCAGTCCGTCCGTACTATAACGATCGATAAACAACCCGATCGAGATTCGAGGTTCCCGATAGGTTCGTGATGTGTAGGCCACTCCCAGAATCATCCTGGAGCCATTATATTCATTTACACGGGTTTTTACTCAACGATGCTTCAATATGTCGACCGCCCAGTTACCTTGATGCTTATCGAAAGTGGCGACGTGTTCGCGCTTGGATGTCCACCTTCCTGATCTGGCTTGGTGGCTGACAGCGACGTACTTTGGGCCGCCAACCAACGGACGTTGCCAGCCGCTATACTCCATTGTCAGCCTCGTCTTACTCACCATTGCCAGCCGCCGCACCACAGTGTCAGCTCTGTCTTGCTCAGCGCCAGCCGCGGGCTGACATGCCTCCAGCCTCATACCAGCCTCCTCGCGAGGACCTATATAATGCGTCTCGTGTAGCCCTACAATCCTCAGCTCCCCACCAGGAACTACTCGCACACTCCTTCAGTCCTTCTCTTCCAACTCCCCCCCCCCTCGGCACCCCTTCCCCCACCCAGCAAGGTCACCATGTTCCCCAAGCTGCTCCTCCTCGCCCTCGCCAGTGCGTCAGTTGTCCTCGCTGCTCCTGCACCGCCAACTCCTTCTGGTACGTCGCCATCATACCCACTTTTCTTATTGCCTCTTGGCCAAGAACATAACCTCACATGCGTACATAGACACACAGATCCTTCAGTACGCGCTGACGCTGGAGTACCTCGAGAACGCCTTCTATACCGGAGCTCTGGACAAGTACGATGCCAAAGCATTCACCGACGCCGGCTTCGCCCCTTGGGTCCGGGCACGCTTCGAGCAAATCATGGACCACGAGAAGACCCATGTCAAGTTCCTCCAGACCGCCCTCGGCTCGGCTGCACCGCAGGCATGCAACTACACCTTGTGAGTCTGAGCATAGCATCGTGGCGTCCAGTTATCCTGATGTCTGCGATGCCAGCCCCTACAATGACCCGGAGTCTTTCGTCCAGCTGGCGATGGGGATTGAAGGGGTTGGTGCTGCAGCATACCTCGGCGCGTCGAAGTACATCAGCGACAAGGACACTCTCACGGCGGCCGCAGTGAGTATATTTGATTTAAGCTCGATGAACGGCGGCTGACGATGGCATTTGCAGTCCATTCTAGCCGTTGAACAACGTCAAGTGGGGTGGATGTCCTCGGCTGTGCTCAAGGAGCAGCCTTGGGACGGTCCCTTCGAGACTCCTCTGGGCTTGAGTGCGGTTTACTCGCTGGCTTGTGAGCCCTCCACGAAATCTTTCCACACCAGACTGGAGTCCTGACAACACCTCTAATAGCGCCGTTCATCACGTCGTGCCCATCATCAAATCCGGCGCTCCCGGTGATAACGCTCCCCGCGTTCAAGCTCCCCGCGGCGTCACCATGGCCGGGCGCGACAATCTCGCTCACCTTTGACAACCCGAACAACGCATCGCCTACGTTTGTCGCGTGGTTCAGCGGGCTCGATGTCGTGTTTACGACCATTGACGGGAACAAGAACACGGTCGTCCCCACTGGCCTGCAGGGCACGGTGTACGCCGGTGTGGTCTCGAGCGACACGATGCCTCTGGCGGACAGCGACATGGTCACGGGGCTGACGATCGTGCAGTTCCCCTTCGACTCGATGGCAGCGGAGGTGGACAACGCGTGAGGTGCCACGGTTCTGGTGTTTCAAGGGTTCCTGATGTACTTCCTGGGATGGCCCTATGATCTGACTGTCTCTACTGTATCCGTTATTATTCATTCGAAGCATTCTGCTAGCATCATCGTGAGCACGAGGCCACAGCAGACGGGCATTGCGGCGACGGATATTTGTCATTTCAAAAATGACCTTGGTGCTGTGTTCATTTGGCATCAAGGTTCGCGGATCCAATCACATTATACCAATAGTTAAAGTTACGCGCCAAGCCTATGAGTATCTATACGCGTTGTCCAAACGCGACCAATGTCACAGTAACACTGCTCGATCACGCAGAATTAAACACGACGCCTAGGATTTCTTCATTTCGATCACCCTGTTAGCGGGCCTCGTGAACACCTGTGTTGGATGCTTTGCGTGGTTGAAGCCCTGAGAAAAGGTGCATCTTTAACGTTCTGTGTAGGGCACCCTTCGTGATGGCCTCGAGTGTAAGCTAGTCATGTGTGTACGTTGCGCGGAAGAAGAAGCCGAAGGCTTGTCCTACGAGAAGGCCACTGTATGCACAAGGTGCCCGCTCAGCCGTCTTGGCACCAGGGGTGTGTAGTATTCCCCCGTTCAAGACGGCGTCCATAGGTTCTATCAGGGTCACTTCTTTCGAGTTGATCCAGAATGGGCCCCGAATAAAAAAAGATTTGTGGAGCTGTGCTCAAGGGAGAAACCTCTTGCGGCCAAGCTTGTATTGACCGAGCCCACCGACGATGTTGAACGGAGCACGTCGCAGCTGGGAGAGTGGGTAGGGGACAGCCGATGGCAAGCAAGTTGACTGTTCAGGCTGAGATCTAATCAGTGGAAATCTAAAGGACCCGGTTATCAGATATGCGCGAACGGGGACCGGTATTATCAGATAAGCACCATCGCGTTCGATTCGGAGATGCCGCACGAACGCGAAGTCATGACGCGCAGAACCAGGCCGCCAACGCTGCCTGTGCAGGTTGAACAAGCCGCTGACGCTCGAATTTCGGCCGCCGTACACAGCGACTGCCCCCTTCGTCCTCCTATTCCGCCCAATGGTTTCTCCCACTCCAAAACGCGTGTCATCGCGTCCGCTGCTGCAAGCTTTGTCCTCGTGCCACATGAGACTTACCAAGCTCGGCGTAATGATTCAGAAGCTTCTCTGGCGCTCTAGGGTGCACAGACATCGGTGGCGAACAGCGGCGAATCAGGCGATGTTGAGTATAAAACCGAGATGAAGGGCCCTGCGGTCTTCATCGACCTGCCGTCTTATGATGTTCACTTGCGCGACCAAAATGTTCGGTACTGCTGCCGTTGTCGCTCTCTTCTCTGCACTGAGCGTGCGTGGTGCGCCTGCGCCTGTGACCGGTACGCGTTGGGCAAGCTCCAGATGTCGTTGCGATCGACGTGCTGATCGCGCACGCTGTAGACACGAGTATCATGCAATATGCGCTGAACCTTGAGCACATTGAACTCGCCTTCTACAACCAGGGCCTCGAGAAGTACGACGCGCAGGCCTTTGCGGACGCCGGCTACGAGGCATGGGTCCGCGGCCGCTTCGTGCAAATCAGGGACCACGAGGTCGCCCACGTCACCTTCCTGACCGAACAGCTGGGATGCGACGCGCCGGTGGTGTGCAATTATACCTAGTCAGTGTCAAGCTTATTTGCAGCTCGTGATACGTCTGACCGTCACTCCCACAGCCCGTACACGGACTTGCAATCGTGGGTCTCCCTGTCGCAGACGCTTGAACACGTCGGTGCGGCGGCGTACATGGGTGCATCGAGGTTCGTGGACGACAAAGACGTGCTCGCTGCGTCAGTGGTGAGTCTTTTTCCGGGGCTTGAACAAAAGTGCACATGCTCATCTGTGGCAACGTCTTACTCAGTCGATATCGCATATTGAAGCGCGCCAAGCTGGCTGGGTCAACTCTGCGGTGATGAAGCAGGAACCGTGGGACGGTGACTTCGAGACACCGCTCTATTTCAGCGGCGCATGGTCTCTGGCAGGTTCGTTGGCCGCTGTGCTCTTCGCCGGCCCGTACTCACCGAGATGGCGCAGTTGGCTTCATCGAGTCTTGCCCAGAGAGCAACCCGGCGCTGCCCGTCGACAGCTTCCCTGCGCTCAACGTGTCTAACAGCGCACCCCCTATGGGGTCGAACATCACCGTGTCCTACGCCGGGCAAGGGAACATCACGACGCCAACGTACATGGCGTGGTACCACGACATGAACACGACGTTCACGAGCATCGACGAGCACGGCGTCACGACGGTGCCCGATTACCTGCGCGGGACGGTGTTTGCGGGCGTCGTGCGGAACGAGACGGAGACGACGAACGACTCGACGATGCTGAGCGGCCTGACAATCTTCAAGTTCCCCTTTAGCTCGTATGCGATCGTCGGTGCATAACAAGACGGTGACGAGACGTTTTGCGGATCGGGATGAACGTGGAGGTTGCTTGAGCTGTTGTTGCACCTGATGTATCGTACTCACTGCATAAAGCTAATGGGTGTCCTGCCACAAGAATTGGAACTGTGGATACACGCGTCCCGCCTTCGAATGCAATATCCATCACGTAGAATGTAGCATGAACAACTTTGATTGTTATGATTGCTGATATACAGGTGTGGATAAATACAGTACACGTGAAACCTGTAAAGCACAATTGAGCCCCCGCCCTCGACGATAGTTACAGTCACTTCCAAGCGATTCATTGAAACGCCTCATCAAGTACTTGCCTAACGTTCAGACAAGTTCTCTAATCAGTCTTGACCCTCTCATACCCCGTTCCGGGGTTGCCAGAGCCCCAGCCGAACCAGCTCGTCCTTCGGGCCTGCGCGGGCTTCTCAGGCACGGCGTGGCCCACGCCGTCGCCCTCCATGTCGCTCGGCACCTCCACCTCCTCAAAGGCTGCCTTCCCGCCACTCTCCGCGCGCTGCCGCAACGAGCCGGACGACGAAAACGACGAGTGCCGCGAGTCGTTGCTCGGGCGCGGCAGCGGGACGCTCGAGGGGCCCGCAGGCGAGGGAGGGCTGGAGTCGGAGAGGTCGTACGGCTGCACGGACGGCTGGTCCTCCGAGAGTGTCGCGCGTGCTGCGCGCGCGTTGGCCGTCGCGGCCTGCGTCGCGGAGACTTGCGCCTGGCGCAGCAGTGCAGCGCCCGAGGCGAGGAGAGTGGGGCCGTAGTTGCCCCAGAGGCCCTGCACGAGCTGCGCGGGCCCGGAGACGGGATCGCCGAGCGAGGGCTGGGCGCCGGTGTTTGCGGAAGCCTGATTGGCAAGCGGTGCGTCGGCCCCGGCGGGGACGTTCATCTGCCGAAGGGTGGTGGTGACGTGGTCCCAGGCTGCACGCAGGAACCGTTGGAGGGAGGAGTAGATGTACCCCTTGAGCTGTGCGAGCGTAGAGTCGATCTGGGACTCGTGCGCAGCAAAGAAGGGCTGTAGGTGTGTGTGGTAAAGGTATGCTGCTCCGGCTGTCTGTGGCAGTGCAAGGTAGAGGAGGAAAATGGTCTTGACTGGATAGTAGAACGGCAGCCTGCATGTCCATGAAAAGGTTAATATCGGAGACTAAATGGGTGCTTGCGTACTCGCCATGAAACTAGCCACTCGGCGACATATTCGACAGATACAATGCACCCGAGCACGCTCCAGTACATCAGCCAGCGTTCGAGCTCCTCTTCAGATGCTGGCCGCTGCGAAAGCGTCTTGTACGAAGCATATCCAGGGTACAAGAACGCAGCCGTCGCGCTAGTGGCCAGTATACTTTTCAGTACCCGCTGAGACTCTCGCAACCAGCACTGGCATACCTAATGACCTTGAAAGTAAAGTAGAAGAACATGCTCGCCGAGTAGATGCGGAGATGGTGGGCGGGGAAAGAGAGAGAACTGTGCGCAGGGCACGGTTCGCCTGAGAGCTTGATTTAGTAGACTTGCCCTCGTCTCGTGTTATGCTTTGATCGATGTCGCTTAGATTCATTATTACGAGATTGATTAGTCGAGATAACAGATCTTCTTATCCCCATTGAAAGCCTCTCTATTGACCATTAGATCGAGACTTTCATCGGGTTTCTATCTAGACTGACTTGGATTGGCTATGATCCACGACTTTACCTCGAGCCGGCTGTTCTCAGTTGCCCATATGGCAATGAGGCACCGCCATAATCTCAAGCTGGAACTGTGCTTGCATTGTTGTGACTCGTGCTTCGAGAATAATTCGTGAAGCCTGAAGAACGAGGCAGTCTCGGGGCGGGTGCAGTTGAGCGGGCATTGATCAATTCGTCGCAGAGGAAAAGGCAAGTATAACAAATCTGGCCGACAGTGCAGCTACACGAGTGGGTGGGGAGGCATCATCGTAGTCACGTAAGAGAATAGATGTCCAAGTCCCACAACCTCGTGGTTACCTTCTGGAATACACGTAGCGGGAGAGAAAACATATGGTAACCGCGCAGATGTTCAGGATTAGTAAAACAGCGTGCTCTCGTCGCTGTAAATAGTGTGATTGTACCACGTCTCGCCGTAAGGGAAGCTGAGATTGGCAATCTCAGTAACACCGACACCGTCTGCAATGGCCTTTCCAAGGGTGTAGTTGACGTGCGCAAACAAGGCGACCTGACGATCCCTAATACCCTGGTCGATCACCTCGCCAAGGTGGCCGATAACGTTGCTGAATGGGTCAAAAGTGAGTCAGAAAAAGCACCTTGGCAATGCTCTGTACAGGAATACACATGCCTGATCAAATTCTGCTGATCCTGTTCAGAGAGCCCGTTCCAGAAGATCCGCGGCCATGCAAAGTCGATCTCGGTAACTGCTGAGAGCGATTGCACGGCGCCTCCCTACGATATGATCGAATGTTCAGTGCCAAGGGCAAGTACGCTCGGTGATTGCTCTCACCGTCCACTGCTGGTGGGAGTCCAGGGTGTAGGTACGGTTATAGAGGCCGAGACGGCTCAGAGTCGACATATAATTAGGTCTGGTTCCCTGGTTTCCATTGATGTTCATTTTGCCGGCACGCTCAAAATTGGCTAGGCAGAGATGAGATCGTGGAATCTGAGGTAGTCAATCTGCAAACATACCGACGGGGGTAATAGGCGCATTGACCTGAATGGGTCAATGGTCAGGGGCTTATAAAGCGGCTCTAAAACTTGATTTTACCGGAATTTGCTGAGAATAAAATCAGACATCAAGCGACAACTGACAATCAACTTTTCGAAACATACCATGTGGTTGATCCCGAGACGGTATCGCTGCGTGTCTGTACACCAGCTCGATCACGATGCGTTCAATTACTCGATTCTTCGTAGATCTCACCTGAGTAGGCAAACATACGTCCCTGCAACATGGGATCCGCAGACGGTGCCCAACCATCGACGATATGGGAAGGAGAGAACGCAGCTTGCTCGACCTCCGCAAAGTAACTAGATAAAAACGTCAGTAGCCCATCGAAAACATTACGAAGGGATAACGCACTTCGTCGGGTTCTGCGTCAAATACATCTTGCCAATCTCGACATAGGGAACGGTGTCATCCCAGTCCCTGTATTTCTAGTCAGAGACGTTACCGTTAAATCGGCGAGCAATCATACTTCGTCAGGTCTAGCACGTTGTAGCTAGAGCACGCTTCATGTTAGCCATTCCATCAGCGGAGAAGAATGCTGCGTACGTGTAGTTCTCAGCCTGTTCAGGAGACATGACCCGAGCGTACACTGTCCAACCCGGGTAGGTCTCATTGGCGATGGCGTCAAACAGATCCTGTGTCGCAAAGTCGGGATTCTCGCCTATCCAAATATTTCAATACAGCTTGAGCGAGTATACAAGACAAGATCGAACCCTCACCCTGGATTAGAGTTGCTTCGGCGTTGGTAAAGTTCCGGACCTTTGGTAGCAGACAAGGCCCGTCAAAGGAAGTACCGTCGCCGGGAACTAGATGTACATACTCCTTGCATCGTCTCAAAATACAGCTTGACATAGTGCCAAGTGCCATCCGACTGAATCCAGCTGATGGGATAGTCAGAAAAAAACACAGCACATAGTTCATGGATAGTAGATATTTACCGGTACGAGTGTCCGGTCCATGCGTGCATATGTCTCATACCATATGGCGTTCCTCTGTCAGAGAAGAGGACCATGACTTGGTACATAGACTCGGGATTGGAGCTCAGGAAGTCCCAGAACAGGCTGAGTGTGCATAATCAGAAAGAGCGCACGAAGAAGAGGTAGGGGACTCACTCCTTGTCTCGCAGATTGGTCTGTGGATTCCTCTTCTGTGTCTATGGCCGGCATCAGCTGCATGATAGGGCGATGGGATGACAGTTGACATACATGAATGAAGTATGGGAACTTCGAGGGGTCGCGGATGAAAAAGACTGGCGTGTCTGGAACAGGTAATCAGTCAATGCTCTGGTGTGATGCACTAACTTACTGTTCATTACAATATCTAAGATACCTTTGCGAGTGCGGAATCTGAGAAGTCGCCCCACGCGATGAGTCAATGGTTATTATGAGAGAACGAGGAATGAAAGGCTGACTTGACTGCGAAACCGCGTGGGTCGCGGAGTTCATCCGAGGCTCCCGTTTCGCCGCTGACTGTGCTGATGCGAACTACAAGACGGCTTTAGTCGGCGTCATTTTTCGTGAGTGCTAGTATCATACCTGTGACGGGAGTGATAAGATCATCCTTTTCGTATGTAAGTACGCGAATTTAACAGTTCATGAACGGAGTGGCCGACCTCACTGAGCATGTCCCTATACAACACGCACGATCAATTAGCCTGGCAGCAGACACATAAGATGAGCAAAGTATACATCATGGTGTACTGCCTGCAGAATGACGAATTCGTCACTACAAAGTAGCCATGCGCACCAGCTTCGGCAAGGGAGTCAGAGCAAGTCTGCAAGGTTGGTTGGTCGAGAGTGCTTACCACCTTTGGCGTGAACAACCCGCTCAGGGATCCGCTCACGGTCGAAGGAGCCGAGGAGCTCGGTCAGATGATAGTCCTCCAGAAGCAGTGGCCCTGCACAGACATCCGCGTGGGTAGTTGCATCTACACCAGACGGCTCGCTTACCATTCGATCCAATTTTCCAAGCGTCATACGGATTGATGTATGGCGCCCCATTCTCGGTCGTGTACTCGAGCTCGGGCGCGGGCTCATTAGACATCTGTGTCTGCATATACATTCCGGTGTTGAGGTCAAAACGGAAAGGACTGGCTCCCGGTGCGGCTGCTGAAGACACGTCCGACGCATCTTGTCTCGCGGCGGCGTGAGGGGATGTCCCAAGGTCTCCCCCAGCAAGAGCAGCAGCAAGATTGAAGACAACAGGGGCCAGATGCAAGAGCTGCATCGCGGGAGGTATGCAGACTGAGCACTGCTACGAGTGTAAGCTAAGGCGTAGACGGGTCGGAAGACGAGAGACGGAGTACTCTCACTCGGATATTTATACGATACTACAGCTGACGGACTTGTGGGCGGCGGCCGACCGATCGGTGCAGGGCCTGTGGCGAAGGTAGGTGAGTTTCCATGCGGAACAGGACGTAAGCCAATTTCACAATCTAAAGAACGATAGATCTGCCTAGCAGAAAGGACTCGAAGACCAATTCAGAAATTTCGGCAGGCGGCAAGTTCTCCCCTAAAGGAATGATGAGAGTTCATCATTACTTCCAAGCGCCTTGCGAAGGGACTGAACATGTGTAGAATCGAATATTATGTCTGTAACAAACCCAGTGAGTTCGGAGTCCGATGCACGACGAGGGCGGCACCATCTTGCCGAGACGAATTTCCTTGACCACACCAAGGCAACATAGGCGAGGCGCTCGTCAAATCAAGGCGTTTGGATTCCTGATTACAGCGACCTGGAGCCGATCCCGCCCCCAACCTCGCTGAGCCGAGCCTTCGAGAACATGGTCGGTAGAATGCGCGCCCGCCTGTCGTCGGACACGGTCAGCATCATGCCTAATCACATGATTCATGTTTTTGTCTTACATGTATATACGTGATCGGAGCGCGCACTGTGTCATGTATGTTCGTGACGACCTCGCCGATGGGAGGTGGGCGAGGCGCATCGTATCGATGGTCGGGGCAGCAGTCTCGAATGGCTCCATCCGGTTATTACATGAGGTCTGTCCCAAATGCGTGAGGCTACCATCTCGTTTCAAACACGGGTGACCATTGTAGCCACCTCTGCGGAACAGGGTCCGTCAGGAAAACCCGCCTAACCTCGCATTCTGGAGCGCCTACCGAATAGCCCAGCAGACGATGACGAAGCGTTACTGTTCTGGTCAACGGGCACCCGATCCGCCAAGTTTGAATATGAATGTACCAGCACCAAAACTCGCGACCGTTCGAGCGTAAGACACAATCAATATCGATCGTCGTATTAATGACTCGCATTGATCGAGGAGTAGCTCCACGAGAAGTTGACTGATGTTTTGGTGCGTGGAACATGCTTCCCCGTGTCTTCCGGTACGTCAGGGAGAACGTATTGGGTGCTGTACTGCGTCCGATGCCAAAAGATTGCTTCACATCTATTGGTTGCAATTAAGTTCATAATGGCAAGTACGACGGGGTTCATGGAAAAAAGAACGCACAGCCTGAGTCAAGCACCAGACACATGGTATCCATCGAGGCAGGACGCGGAACGCTCGGGGTAGCGTTGGCGATAACGAGGACCTCTGTCTCCTTTTGCAGAAGTCTTCGGGGAGGGAGGTGCAAAAGCTACCATCAGTGCTGCGTAACCATACTCTGAATGATGGCAGAACACCGCTCTGCGCCTACACGGGACTAGGCACAGCGCACGTTGCCGTAGTGATGTTCCGGGATGGTGTTGAGACACCACTGTAATTCTATATCGCTACGCGAGCCCTCAAGCGGGGTCCCCGAAAATATTTAAACGAGCTTCCTATGTAAGAATATTAGCAACGGTCGAAATTATGGCATCTTCTAGAGACAGCGTGGAGCGTACGGAGGCAATGAAGCGGGCAGACAACACCGAGTCCGCGTGCTTCCATAAGCTGTTCTGCACCCTTGCAATTCGGGGCTTCTTGTTGAAACACAACTTGATATGCAACTCAATCGATGGCGTAATCTATCAAATACCTCTGTCAGCATGTCAAAAATATTCAAGGACGAAGGATCTGAGGTACTTATGCATTTGAGACCGAAGCGATTAAGCCCCATACAGGGCTTGGTCAAGTCCACGAGGCTGATCTGCTTACCATTGCCGTCGCCATTATTGGTTAAAATGATGCACCACTAAGATCAGATCTGATGCCAGACTCGAGGACGTTGATCGAACACCCAAGTCGCCGTTGGAAACTGATCCTCGATGTGCCTCGCGCTACTCACCACGGGCGGTAATTGAACGGCAAAGAGATCAGGAGAGCCGGGCATCCATGCAGGGATTCTTGGCTCCCGACCCGCGGAGTATGTGGCATGCGGGGCGAAACGGGAATGAACTTACGAGGCGCAGAGCGAGTTACTGAAACAGACGGGTATGCGCTGCGTTTCGCTGAAGCAAACACCGTGAGTTCCATAGAAGTCACGAAGCATGTACATTTCATTTGTGAAGGCTCGCGAGGTTGCCTTACGCGCAGCGGAGCATCGCATCATTGTATGAATTTGTGCTGTTTGCGGCACCATGGCCATGGGTGTAGAAATGAGATCGAGGCTGGTTGGGCCTCCAAACTGGCGCGCCCAATAGATCGGCCTGTCGTGCGTTCTGCGGTGGATTTGCCAAGCACAAAGTGAACGTGACCTCTAGGCGAGCCACACATAGCCAGGTAGACCAGACCCTGGATCATATTCCGTCCCCAGCTCACCGAAAGTTTCCGAGACATATTCGTCCACATCATTTTACTTTCGGGATATCTCATGCAGATTCCAGAAGAAACAATATGGGCCTTCTCTACATCTCCGTGAATCATGTTATAAAGCAGTCGATATATATATAGACACTCACACAAGTATGGAGTTGCTTGCGCCAACCAAACGCCGGGCCTGCGATGGTTATTACGTGCGCAACATGAGGTCCGATTTACGTACGCAGACAATACGGGAACAAGCAGGAACACGGGAAGGTAATGAACTTCAAGGAGTACATTGGCGGCCCTCCTACGGAACGATAATGTGCAATGAGTTGGAAGGCAGACCTTGCATCGACGACAATCCATCTAGGCATTGCCCTAATTGGCTCTGGTCGATGGTGCGCCTCCACCATAGAGTTTGTCTCTGGTCCAGTCAGAGACGCGCCGTCCCCATCCTTCGGCACCCTGGAACAATGTCTCTAGCTGTGTGTTCCACTGGTTTTTCAACAAGGACGCAAATGGGTGTCGGACAATCCTCTGCGCAGCGGAGGCCGGCGCTGGTATATTCGACGGAGCGTCAAGCAATCGTTGAGACAATTTGTGAAGGCTACATGAATCATGTGGTGAGTGAGCACATGTTACACTCCGAAATGGACGAAACTCACTCAGACCGGTGTTGCTCTGTTCTGTGGTAACAATAATGAACTCAACATATATTGAACATCATGCTCTGGCTCACCGAGTCTGTATCAAGGTTGAGAATCCATAGTACACCTGCACACACCAGTAAGTCAATGCAGCTGTGAATGCGTTGAATATGGTTGAAACGCACTCCGCCTGCTGCAAGGGCGCCCGACACGGGACCGACCAGGAAGGACATGAGTAAATTAGTGGCCCACGCTAATCTGAGGTCAATGCAGCGATTACGATTCACCTCCATAGAATGTACAGCACAAACTAGCTTACTGAGGTGTGTATTTGTAGGCTTGCCACCTGTAACACCGTCTTGCACGCGTGAGTTTACGTATCTCTAAAGTCACGATCGATGCTTTGGAGTCATCGGTCCTTCAATATCCTATCGGAGTACGAAATACGAGGCGCAGAAGTCTGACTCCGATGGTCTTTTCCATATTCGCTGAGCTTCATTTGAATCGCAACTAATCAATGTTATTAGTGGCTCCCGGTGATATCTCGCGCTGTGTATTCTCCTAACTCTTTGAATTCGTCTCATATAAAAGCTCTGGAGGCACCGAAAGGTATAGCTCTACGATATCTTTGATGATGGCATATAGCTTTCTGAATAACATAGCATTTAGTCGATAACAGCTCCCGTATCAGGTTGATCCCCGTAATCCTGCTGACAAGTGATCCATTGGACCTTGAATAGCACCGTACGGACACCCACGGGATTCATAGGGTCTTGTTCTTCTACTACAACAATCGCCACCTCATAATGCGCGTCCGAACCCTCGAAATTCGCTGGCACGATAGCAAGCCCATCTCTACTTGTGACTTTCAGCCAGTTCCATTCAAGAAAGCGCGTCACGAGAAACACTTCGCGACACAGTCGTACAAGCTCGCCACGGGGGGAGAGGACAACCATGTCAGGGTGAGTTTTCCAATCTCGCCTGAGGGTGGCTGATGAGCAACTTTGTCAAGCTGTGGACGGTGCATCCAAATATACTACCGCGCTCTGTGGTAGAAACAGCATCGGGATCTGCGGCGGAGGCGCCCACACCTCGTCCCCCGCGAGTTGAGTATCTGGCTACGCTAGCACGACACTCTGCTCCGGTGAATGTAGTACGGTGGAGCCCTAATGGTAAGCTGTAACGAAAGACGCGTATCATCATATCATTGACGCGTTAGATTGAAAGGGGAGCTGATCGCTTCAGCTGGTGACGGTACCTACTCTGTACCCTTCAGTGGTCTCAATCGACTTACTGGTATCTATTAGATGGAATGATCATTATCTGGGCCCCTACTACAAGCCCTCACACAGGCACGTATGGCAGTGACTTAAGTGCAGAAGAGTTACAATACGAGAAAGAGCACTGGAAGCCACGAACAACTTTCCGGTATGTACAAAGGTGTCCCCGGTAAGCAGCACTTGCTGAATGTATTTTGTAGCTGCACTACTATGCAAGTCTATGATCTGGCCTGGAGCCCAACTGGCGAGTACATAATTGCTGGGAGCACAGATAATTGCGCCAGAATATTCGCGACGGGCGACGGTTAGTCTTTAAGACATGTCTTTGCCATACCATACTGACCATACCCAAGGCAAATGCATCACCGAGATTGCTGAACATAGCCACTATGTCCAGGGTGTTGCATGGGACCCTCTGAACGAGTTTATCGCGACACAAAGCAGCGACCGCTCGATGCATATCTATAGCATCACGCAGAAGGACGGCACTCTAGAGCTGCATGCCGTGGGAAAAAACACGCGTATGAACCACCGCCACAGCCGCACTCCTAGCTCGCGCAGTCGGCCTCCGATGCTCCGGCGGGACTCGACGACGAGCGAGACTGAGTCCGTGCTCACGAATGCGAGTGAACAACTGAGGGACCAGGCCACTGCCTCCGGATCGGGCTCTAGTCATCAACTTGGCGGCAGTGCTCTGTTGACACCTACTGCGTCAGTGCCGAGTACGCCTTCCAGTATGTTCCCTCCGCCTCCTCTTGACTACACTCCGTCGCGGCGCTCTTCTTTCAGCAGCACTACCGCCGCCAATTCCCCTGCTGCGCATGGCCGTTTCGGAAGGTCACCTTCGCCTATGCCCGCTCTTCCTGCCATCCGCACTCAGACGTCGTCGTCCAGTTGGGGTTCTGTCAAGCTGTATGGCGATGAGAACTACACGAACTTCTTCAGGCGCCTTACGTTTAGCCCTGATGGCGGGTTACTAGCCACACCCGCTGGTCAATTTGAGGATCCGTCGGTCAACCTGGCATCTTCAAAGACTAAGAATGGCAAGGATGACGAGACACCTAGCCGAGGGCGGAGGGGTAACCCATCTGCAGCTTCGAACAACTCGAATCAAGCATCAATCTCAACTGTATACATCTACTCCCGGGCAAACTTCGCCAATCAGCCCATCTTCCACCTTCCAGGACATAAGAAGCCCAGCATTGCGGTGAAGTTCTCACCTATCCTATATGAGCTGCGTCCCGGAGTCACAGGTCCGGACTGGACGACGGAGCCGATGACCATCGCTGTCGAGAAGGGTAAGGATGTCTCAGTGAAAGCGGACTATCCGCGTCCTGCCTCCAACTCGCTTGGCATGCTGAACACTGAGTCGCCGGTGAAGTCGACGGCTACGCCGGCTCCTTCGACGCCTATTGTGGCCCCTTCGCCGCGTATCGCAATCCCTTCCAACTCACAGTCACATTTGATGATGCCCTCGCCAGCGTTGTCCGCGACTGACTCTCTTCGACCATTTACGCCGTCTTTCTCGAGGACGGGTACACCGGCCGTCACCCCAGCATTTACGGCGTCACTTCTTGCTCTCTCATATCGCATGCTCTATGCCGTCGCGACGATGGATACTGTAATCATTTACGATACTCAGCAGGCGGGTCCTGTATGTCTATTGACGAAATTGCACTATGACGAATTTACGGATATGACATGGTAAGTCGCTCTGTTTGTTCTCTTGTGCGAGCGGCGAATCTCACTATCCGTGAATCTCAGGTCTCCCGATGGCCAATGTCTCATGCTTTCCTCACGCGATGGTTACTGTACCATCGTCGTGTTTGACGAAATCTTCCCGACCCATCATACCCAGCAACAAACCCTGCAGCTGCAGTCCATTGCACATCACCATTCGCTGCCGCTTACGAGCACATCAACGGTTGCCACGCCGATGTCGACGCCGTCGGTGCAGTCGACGGCCCTGCCCGCCACGCCGGCAATGACGCCCGTCGTTCCCGGGAAGCGGAAGGCCGAAGTTGAACCGCCGCTTACCCCCGCTCCGAGCGTTGACGAGAGTGCGTTGGGTCTGCACGATGCAGATGAGGCTGCTGAGGTCCCCGAGCGAGTACTAGAGCGTCCCAAGAAAAAGCGGCGTGCCGCGCTCACTCACATCGGGGATGTCGGGTCATAACCTGACCAAACGGTCTCATGTCGTGTGTTCAGGCCATTTACACCATCGTCCGCATATACATGATGTCTATCCACGCATCTTATCCTTACCATATTGTATGATAGAGCGATCTGTCTCTCAAACCTCAGTAGCCCTCGATTTGTCCGAACGTCGTCGTTGTCCTCCCGTTGAGCATCATTCTATTTCTGCCTGTCTCGAAGTGTTAATGCAATCTTGTCTCAGATAGTATACAGTGATGAATAGCAGTGGAATGCATGCGATACAATGTATGCGTATAGCACAAGTATACATGAACACATGATATACACAGTACCATCGTGATTCTCGGTGTGCTTAGCCCGTCTTGTTTTTGCTTCTCCTTCCGACCTGCGCCTGGAAACCTGTCTTGATCGGTGCGACGGACCGCCTTGAGCCGCATGACTCGCAAGACATGAAGAAAATACGATTCTCCTTCGTGAGAAGCGTGTCTGGTGACTTGCATGTCTTGCAAGTAACGTATTCGACTGAGCATTAAATCAGCATGTGCTGCACGAAATGTCAAGTCACACATACCGATATAACGACGTAAGACATGCTCTATCTGCTTCTGCTGGAATCTGCCCCTGATCACAAGGCGACCTGAGCCGTCTACGGAACCAGTGGTACCCATCTCAGCAAACATGTATTGGATAACATGCTCAGGCTGTCTGTGCATCCGTTTGCAGATATCGGACACATTGGCGAAGACTGTCTTCTTGTTCCCTTCACGCAAAAGCTGCGGGGGAGCAATGGTGTAGCGCTTTCCGGTCGAGTTGAGAAGCGCGGGGTTTGACGCGTGCAACTGGACGTAGAATCGGTGCAGCAGCTGGACAAAACGAAGCTCAATGTGTGTATGGGGTGCAACCTCGGTCCACTGTACCTCTTCATAAGTGTAGTCTCGATCACTGCCCAGCCATGGCTCGCTGCCAGCATCTATGTTGATGGTGGTCTCTCCACGCGTAAACGGATCGTCACCAAGCTCGGTCTCGTCTCCTTCCAGCGGGATGCCTTCTTCGCCGCCTTCCTCCTCATCTGCATCCTTAGTTTTCGCCACCTGCAACTCCTTCTCGAACGCCTCCATGTCGAGTGCCGCTTTCTTCTTCGTAGATTTCTTCTTCTTCTTGAGATCGGAGAAGTCCAAATCCTCAGAAGCGGCCGGCACTGTTGTGGGCGTCGCTGTGCCAGAGTTATCCTCCGGCTGCAGTTGAGCACCTTGAGCTTCAGCCTGCTACAAGCGAATTTACAGTAGCACATACCAGGTCCATAGGAATGTCCTTCTTCTTTTTCTTCTTCTTAAGATCCCCAAACATTGCCTTGAATTCGTCGTCCTCCTTCTTCTCCTCGACAGCGTCCTCCGCACCCTCGCCGGTGAATCCATTCTGCATCATCTGCTCATGCATAGTCGTCGGGCCCATATCCACGGCATCTCCGTTGGCTGTAGTGCTGTCGATGATCGCCGGGGCAGGCGTCGTGGGGTCGGCATCCGCACCGAGCGGGTCCTCAGAGAATGCGACCTGCTTTTTCTTACGCTTTTTCAGAGAGGGGTCGAACAAGGGTTCCTCGGACGCCATAGTGGGCAAAAATCGTTATCGGAGGGATAAATGAGTAGACCTTCGAGCTCGTCGTTGCAGGCAGGGAGCGCGAGTCAGCGTGCTAAAGTCGGGGATTTCCCGATATTTGATTTATATTATGCTAAAATGTCGGAGAATTCCTATATAAGTTCAATGGGAGTAAGGCATCGTTGAATCTTACATTACTGTAGGTAAGTAGCTTGATTGGAAGGTCCACCTAATTCAGAAATCCGCCTAAGTTATCAGACTTATTGGTACTGTATCTCTTAACTCCGCCGGCAATTTCCTTACGCATTCCGCACTCGCCCGCTCGAGCTGGCAGTCGTCATATTCCTCCTCCTCCCCGTTTCTGCGCATTTGTCCTCATGCTTGCGAGGCGCACGCTCGGTCGTATCGCGTCCCAGTCGACGCTGGGCGCAGCCCCCGCCGGCGCGCGGAACATGGCGACTCTCCGCGAGATTGAGCTACGACTCAAGTCCGTGAGGAACATTGAGAAGATCACAAAGGTGAGTATGTATCGGTATGAAGATGTCGAGTAATGAAATATAGCTTGGTTGAATAGTCCATGAAAATGATTGCATCGACTAAGCTGAACAAGGCGCAGCGTGCAATGCAGGCGGGCAAGCAGTACGGTATTGCGAACGCCGGTGAGTCCGTGCCTTGCAGCTGAGCAGGCGGGGTCTCTCTGCGAACAAATCCCTGCTGGCATGCGCACGAATTGAGGGATGAGAGAGCTGATTTTTGGTTATGAACGCGTCGCGCGTGTATCTCAGAGGTCTTCGAGAACTCGCCGGCAGAGCAGTCTTCAAAGCGCAAGTTGTTCATCGTCATTTCGTCCGACAAGGGTCTCTGCGGTGGTATCCACTCCTCCGTCACCAAAGCCACTCGTCGCATTTTTGCCGAGAAGGACTCCGGCCTTGATCATGACTCACCCATTATGGTCATCGGCGACAAGCCCAAGGCGCAACTCGCCCGCGCGCTGCCGAAAAACCTCACCTTGACCTTCAACCAGATTGGGCGTGACATTCCGACGTTCGCAGACGCGGCGGGTGTTGCGGACCTGATCATCAAGTCGGGCGTCAAGTACGACAGCATCGCGATCGTGTATAACAAGTTCGTGACTGCGATCTCGTACGAGTCGGCGGTCATGGAGGTCGAGACGGAGGAGTCGTTGAAGAACTCTCGTAAGTGTCGTTTGACCAAATATTTTGTTGCCGAAAGTCGAACTCACACGCGTTTGCAGCTGGCTTCAAGGCATACGAGATGGAGGACGACGTGACGAAGGACCTTGCGGAGTTTTCCCTGGCAAACGCCATCTATGCAACTCTTGTTGAGGGCCATGCGTGCGAGCAGAGTGCTCGTCGCAACGCCATGGACAACGCGTCAAAGAACGCGTTGGACATGATCGGAAAGCTGCAGATGCAGTACAACCGTGGTCGCCAGGCCTCTATTACCAACGAGCTTGTCGACATCATTACCGGTACGAATGTCTTTTCATTTCAGGCTGAGCAACTTCTGATGTGTCGTGTTGTATACCAGGTGCGAGCGCCCTCTAAGTCGGTCAGTGGCATGGAGAGATCGCGGCGTGCATTTAGAGTAGTCGGACTGTTGCCTCGATGTCTCGCTGCGGCGTCGTTACAGCGTGTCAATGGATATGTGCCAATGTAACCTCTCGATCTGACTGTTGCCGCGATCTTTGCGTGGGACGTTTTGGGCGGCTTTACTGCATGCTGAGAGCTGCGTCTACACTCGCGCGCAGCCGTGCCTGCTCTCTCGCCGCACAATATTTCTTGTTACATCTTACATTGGGCTAGGCTGATACGCTAGGTCTGAGGCCTGAGGACTTGAGTCAGCACTTTGCGTCATTCTACCGGTGCCTGGTCTGCTCTCAGCACCTTCAGCCGACCTTTCCCCTGTATCTCCACCTTGAATTTCTGTAGCAACAATGTTACACCATTCGCCTATGATCTCGATACCCAAGAAGTCCACAGAGGATGTAGACTGGACGACGCCAATACGGAGCGCAATATCGCACTCGTACGGAGAGGATCCAGACAACTATGCCACCGAGTGCGCCAACCTTCAGCGGTGTAGGCAAGACGCGGTTAAGGGTGCTGGCAGCGACATGACTGGTGCGATAAATCTCTCTTTAATTCAGGCCAGCAACTAACGAGGATGCAGCGCGGGACCTCCTGTATAAGTACTTCGGCCAGCTCGAGCTTCTCGAGCTGCGCTTCCCCGAACTCCGGGTGAACTTCCCTTGGCGGGATGCTTTCACGAACAAGCTCATCACGCAGACGTCCATCGCATACGAGAAAGCGTCCATCATCTTCCAGATCGCGGCAACGCACTCCGCCATCGCGGCGTACCAGAACAGAGCCGACCCCGAAGGCCTGAAGCGGGCGTTCCACTATTTCCGCACATGCGCGGGCATGCTCACGTACATTAATGACAACTTCCTGCACGCGCCGTCGACGGACCTGAGCCGCGAAGTGATCAAGTTCCTGGTGGGGGCCATTCTCGCGCAGGCGACCGAGGTCTTCTTCGAGAAGTGCACGGACGAGAAGAAAGGGAACGCGCTGGTGGCAAAGATTGCATCGCAGACGGCGTTCATGTACAACGCACTTAGTGAGGAGGTGAAGGAGTTCATGGGCAAGGGTATCTTTGACCGCAATTGGGTCACCATCGTGCAGGTGCGGCTCAGTATATGCTCTACAGTGCTGTATGCTGAGAGATGTTCATGAAGACCAAGGCGAAATACTTCACATCCGTGGCTCAATACTACAGGGCGCTGGCTGATAGTGCAGCAAGCAAGCACGGAGATGCCCTCGTACGCTTCACTTTGGCCGAAGCAGCTGCAAAGGAAGCGAACCGCTCTGCGACCTCATTCAACTCCGTCTTCGTAACGCAGATGTCGCCCAACCTTCCACCAGATGCCGGCCCCGCCCTGCTCGACCTCACAAAAGCCCATCTTGCGCTCTGCACGGACAAGAAGAGCGAGGCGCAGCGCGAGAACGACTTGATCTATAATGCGGTGCCGCCCGCGGCTGAGGCGCTCCCGCCGATCGACAAAGCGGTGGTCGCGACACCGGTGACAATCCAGGAAGTATACGCAACGGCGGACGTGCAGAAAGTGATCGGCCCGGACCTGTTCCTGCGGCTGATCCCGCTGAGCGTGCACGAGAGCGCGAGTGTATACTCGGAGGAGAAGGCAAAGCTCGTACGCGGGGAGGTCGAGAAGGCGGACGACGCGGACGCAGAGGTGAAGAGCGCGCTTGACTCGCTGGGTGTCAAGCAAGGCCTCGTGCGCTTCAAGGCGATCGCGGAGGGTGGCGTCGGTGGCGAGGAAGAGGTGCCCGTGGAGGTGCGCCGATGGCGCGAGGATATTGGGCTCATGGAGGAACGCGAAGCCGTCGAAACGCTCATGGTGCAGCTGAAGCGCTTGAAAGACTTGGTCAAGAATGAGCTTGACAGCGTAAGCCGGGACCTTGAAACCGAGAGCAGAGAGTGCGAGACGATGCGCGTGAAGTACGACCACTTGTGGACACAAGCACCGTCCGCTGCCTTGACCAAGTCCCTTCGCCAAGACTTGAAGTCACATCTCAGCGCACTGGAGGCTGCAGCCCAGTCGGATCAGCAAGTCGACGCTCTTTGGGACTCGGTAAAAGGCGAGGTCCGACTGCTACTCTCTCCACAAGTAGAAGATGTCTTCCGAGCTAGCACGGAACAAGGAGGGGCAGGATCGGAGAACTTGCTTGACCTGGACGTCACAAGCGAGACGCAAGGAGAAGAGGAACGTGCTAGAGTTGCACAGCTCGTCGACGAACTTGAGGAACGACTTGGTCGGCTGAACAAGATCGCCCATGAAAGAGGACAAGTTCTGAAGGATTTAAAGGATAAGGTATTTGTAACGGTCGCAGAATACACAGGAGAATGCTGATGGCCTTTTTATAAGGTCCAAGCCGATGATGTATCACATCTCCTGCTGCTCAACCGTCGGAATAGTGGTGTCGAGACCAGTCTGTTCGCCGGGGAACTTGAGAAATTCCGCCCGTACCAACAGCGGTTAACGGCCACTTTCCACCATGAGCAAATCACCTTGCAAGAGGTTTCAGCCCTCTGGCGTACCTTGAAGGATCTTGCAGGACGTGGACCAGGTGCCAAGAAGTGGGAGGAACGAGAGAAACGTAAGAAAGATACCATTCGCCGCTTCTCGCGTGCCAGAGATGTGTACATGGAAGTGAGGGATGGTCTTGCGTACGTTCTCTGTTATTGCCGTGCCGCTGGAGTGATGACCAACACGCTGTCTCGTACAGGAAAGGATTGCAATTCTACAACGAGCTCACGGAGCTAACGACTGGGCTCAGACGCAATGCAAAGTCCTTCGTATCAGAACGCACGATGGAGCGCGAGGCCCTTGCCGCGCAAGCGGAGGCGGAGCGCAGGAAATCTCAAGCTGCGGCTACGTCGCCCCCTCCTCTTGCTGAGAAGCCCCGCCTTCCACCTCCGCCGCCTCGGCCGCAGAGTTCGTCCTTCGCAAGTGGCATCGACTCGTCCTTTGCTGCCATGAACCTCAACGGTCGTCGTAATGGGCCAACGTCACCGCCGCCGCCACCTGCAACCCAGAGTTCGTGGCCTTCGGCTCCCGCACCACCCTCCCAGCAATACTCAACTCCGCCCCCTTCTCAGCAATATCCATCGCCGCCGGTTTCACAGCAATATTCTTCTCCACCTGCATCTCAGCAGTATCCGCCACCATCAACTTCTCAACAATTCCCGTCGCCTCCTCCTCAACCACCAAGAGCCCCTTACCCTCCTCAGTCACAGCCCTCGTATCAGCCGTCGGCACCTCCAGCCGACCCTTACTCATCGCTTGTTATGTTTGGTAATAGCGGGAGTGGTTCCCCGTTCGCCCAAGCGCCGTCTGCTCCGACCCCTCCTCCACATCTACCGCCTCCGCCTCAGGGTAACCCGCTCGGACAGCAACATCCCAGGTACTCGCAGCCACAACAGCCAGCTTACTCGCAGCCTCAGCAGCAGACGTACGCACAACCTCAGCAGCGCCAGGCACCGTATCCGCCGCCGTCGCAGCCAATGTACAATACCACGTATGCACCTCCGCAATCGACATCACCGTTCCCTCCTCCGCCTCCTCCTGTTTCATATCAGCCCCAGTATGGCTCGTCGCCCACAAATGCACCTGCGCAGCAACAGCCGGGGGGCTATCAATATCAGACTTTCCCGCCCCCTCCTCAGCAGCAGTACAGCCAATATCCCCAAGGCTATGGACGGTAGCGATGTACATAAGCGCATCGCATTATTGTATGTTTGTACCTATCAAGTTGCTACTTACCGATGAAATACAGGAATGGATGTAGCATTTCCCTCTGTGCAATAGCTAGGTGTCGAGATTGCTATTGAATCTAATAGATCGTAGGCAACAATGACCCGGACCATATCTGATGGTACTATAAAATGCGCGAATGCAGGTCGGAAGTCATCAGGCGCGTCGGCAGTGCGCATCAATACCCTCTAGAGTACAAGTAGTCCAAAATCAGTACATCCTACTACGTCCATGCAATGACGAGGTCGAGTTGAGCAGTAAATCCGGCTCCTCCTCTTTCACAGTCCTTCCTTCTATTACAGCCAGATCCTTCAGATCCCGCTGCAGTATTTTTGTTAGATGCGCCAGACCCGCCTGCTCCTCCGCTAGTATCTGCGAACGAATAAATCAGGCATACTGTATGCGGTGTTGGCATCGTGAAACGTTACCTGAGCGAGCTGACTGAGTCCCTGCTCGTCTACAACAGCCCACTCCACACTTCCGGCTCGATGATCCCTCTCCCTTGCAGCGGAGACAGCACCTACGAGCGCCCACAGCTCATTGAGCTTACCCCGCATCCGCCCGATACCGCCTGGTCTCCGGATCTCCTGGTCGACGTCCTCCAAAGCCGCACGTAAGGCCTCCTCTTCTGGCCTGATCGCGGACGAGCGAACAGCGGGGATGAGCAGATGGAGGTGTTGTACCACCTTAAGTACACGATGTGTCAATTGCGTCTGCAGCGCCGCGGCTCGTTGCAATCGAGGGGCGTTCGACAGTTGATGCTGCCGGGTTAGCGCTGTTATTCGCGTTGACAGTTCCTGGAACATTCGCGTTAGTATGTATACGTTTGGAGGTCAGACAACCTCGCCGACCTTAAGTTTCTCTTGATGTGCCGCCGCTTGTTGGGTCTGTGCCTCGACTCGCTGTTGTAAGTCATCGAAGCCATTTGCGATCACCGGCACGAGACTGTACAAACGGTCAACGATCTGTCACAAAATGGACCATTGCATGCACTTACCAGCTTGGATCTGGATTTTCACGAATGGCTTTCTGCCATAATGTGTCGTTTGTCGCGTTGGGTGGACGACCGTACAGGTGCACCTGGCTAGGATCGACGAGATTGTAGAAGTAGTGCTATCAGGACACGTCATTTTTCGACAACGCCGTCAAACCGCATACCGCATACCTGGAAACGGCATTGCGGAGACGCGGGATTCCATGCCTGTGCAATAGTCTCTATGCGCTGGTACAAATTGACGAACTGCGACTGTGCGTCCGCCTGCTGCTGACCAGGCGTCACAGAATGCGAGAGAAGATTCTGCGTGGACCCGAGGAGATTAGACCCGCCGACGGTGCTACCGCCAAATAGCCCCGAACGTTGTTGTTGTGCAGGTTGCCCTAAGGTAGAGCCGCCAAACAAGGACGGTGCGGTGATGCCGCCTCCAGCTTATGACGATAACACAAGCTGTCATATAAACATCCTACGACGATCCAAGACGCTGGAAGACGTACCTCCCAAGGTGGTAGTAGGCGCGTTCGGTGTGCTCCCAAAAAGTCCGCCACCTGTATTGGTTGGCCCAAAGAGACTACTTGTGTTGTTTGTATTACTACCGCTTGCAGTGTTACCGAAGAGGCTACCAGACGTGTTGTTCCCGAAGAGGCTGCCGCCTGTCGAGGCGTTGGTTGCACCCGTAGTGTTAGTCGACCCAGTAGTATTCCCGCCAAAGAGGCTGCTCGTAGGGTTTGCCGTGGTGTTCCCGAACAAGCCGCCACCTGAACTCGTGCTTCCTCCTGAGGTATTTCCGAACAGACTACCGCCTGTGCTGGTGTTCCCTGCTGCAGTGTTGCCGAACAAGCTACTGCCTGTATTCGTACTTCCTGCAGTGTTTCCAAAGAGTCCACCTCCTCCTGCACTCGCATTCGCTGCAGTTGTGTTTCCAAACAGGCTTCCGCCCGTAGTGTTCGTCCCTCCACTGTTGCCAAAGAGCCCACCTCCTGCCGTGCCTGTGTTGGCTCCTCCAGTAGTGTTGTTTCCAAAGAGACCCCCTCCCGCGGTACTCGTGTTTGACGCAGAATTTCCAAAGAGAGAACCATTAGCAGGGGCAGCGTTACTTGATCCTGACTGACCCCCGAACAGACCACTTGTGGCGGGTTGACTGCCCGCGGCCGGCTGTGCTGATGTGTTGGAGAACAGGCTTCCACTGCTCGGGACGTTAGTATTGGATGCGTTGCCGAAGAGACCTCCCGTCGTCCCTGTCGTCTGCGTGTTGCCAAAGAGCGAGCCAGTAGCAGGCGTTTGTTGCTGATTCGCGTTCGCAAACAAGGAGCCGCTGGCTGCTGGCTGCGCGGTGTTGTTCGTCGAGCCAAGGGGTCCAAAAAGGCCGCTTCCTGAGGTAGATGACCCTGGTTGCTGCTGTGGCTGCTGAGGCGTACTGCCGAACGCGCTCCCGGCAGGATTGTTGTTTCCAAACGACGAGAACATCTATAAGGATGTCAGACCCCTCGGTCAATCCCAAGCTCGCGCAACCATTTCGAGACATACTCACCATGCGCTCAGCTCGCGTGGAACTTTCGACCAGCTGTAAGAGTGAACGCTCGGTGAAGACGCGCCTCAGACCAACCCCGCGAGAATGGCGGGGACGCACGTGACAAGCGTCGAAGATCATCGATCGAGTCTGCTCGACAATGTCACAACGATGCAGAAATGTACCTTAGCTCTGTTTCACGGACTTTATTCTCATTCTGAACGCAGCAGCGCTGGACATCCTTCCGCTTATTCTCCACAATCTGTGTGAAAGTCTGACAGCATAATATAAGCTACGTCCGGTCCGTGTTTTGTGGCCCGGGATATAGTCACTTGCGTGCACAATAATTTTAAACCCGGATTTTCCGATCAATTTACATTTGAGTATGTATTTGTGGTAGTAGCGAACCCAACGAGGGAGTTTCCCACATCGTACACAAGGTAGTACCGCTCCAGGAAGACCATCCCGTCGATGAAATCGAGGCCGCTTCCTGCCGCGTTCCCGCTGTCAGCAACCACTAGATAGATCCCGTCCTTGTCGCCACCAATCTCTTCGTTTAGCTGTGCGGTACACCGCGACTGTCAGCGACTCATGCCTAGCACCGTCAGACAGGACTCACCGTCCGGGGCCAGATTTGCGCATTGGGTGTGAGCTCGTATCTTCGCTAATCGAGGGCATGTCATTTAGCTGTATTAAGAAGAGATATCTTCTCACGTACGCCCCCGATGTCGAAGTACAGGCTGTTCATCTGCCCATATTGCTCCGGCGTGACCTTGAGTAACCCCGACCGCTCATCGAGCGTGGCTCCAGTCTGGGCTTTATACATGTTGAAGGCATCTGCAGTGTCTCAGCGTTAGCGATTCAACTCATGGAAAGCAGACTGCAACTCGAACCTGTTGCTAGTAATAGCAGTGTCGTCCCGGTGTCGACGATGCCTGCGGCATTGTGAAGGATCTCTACGCCGCCATATGACACCGTTTGGTTTATGCCGACAAAGTTGCCCGCCGGTTTAGTGGATGTGATCGGACTTCAGGGCCCGTGAGTGATATGCGAATGCAAAGAGGATTCAGCACTCACACATAGTTGATGTTACCTGTGTACCTAGTCGGATTGGTGCCGCCGAAGGTAAGCTCGCCATTGTCAGCTGGGGCGAATCCTATCCCAACCTCATACGCGGCAAGGAGTCCCTGAAACCATGCATTGTCGGTCACGGTCGAAGTTTTCTCGTTGATATTAGGGACGTTGGTTCCTGGCAAGGAGTCAGCGTTGCCTCGCGGTGGGTTCTACTGAGAGGTCGTTTTACCTTGCGTCAGGTCTACAGGACCAATCCTGTCTCACTGGTCAGCGCATGAAAAGTCACAAGAGGCTAAACATCACCCCAGAATGCCGTCTACACCATCGAATCCTTCCGCGAAAACAGCCACTCCAATCGACTGGTTTTTGATGGTAAGCTCATATGCCAATGTTACCACATCCTCGACCTCGAATCCTGGAATAGCATGTGCGAATTGGAATGGCATTTAGACAGAAAGGCAGGAAATCAAACCTGCCACGAATCCAGAACCATACTCGACGGACTAAAGCGGTGGTCAGCTAAGAACGCCGTATACGACATAAGCGTGGAGCGGTTAGACTAACGAAGAGCCCGCCCGTCGGAATAGTTGAACTAGTAGACTCGAAGGTCTTATTCGCGCCGACCCAGGTGTTTGAGCTTCCGGTATCAATGAGCAACGAATCTGTGTATAGGAAAGGTCAGCCATCAGAATCACCCTCATCTCTCACCGGAATTTCTCGCCCTGCTGGTAAGCGATCTTTAGACATGGCAGTCGATTTTTCGGTTCAACAAATTATGCGCCATGGGGTCATGCGCGTAGTGATCGAGGCTGACTTACAGTTGGTAGGAGGGTTACCAATGCCCACCTGTGGTACGACTGAGCAACCGAGTCGTCGACAACTAGGTGCAACTCACAGTGGCAACATAGCTGACTACTTGAAAAGTGCTGGGTACGTTAAACACAGCCGCCTCTTGATCCGGCGTGCTGCCTTGAGCATTCCCGTAAAGCGACTGGAACCGCTGTCTGTCGGCCTGAGGAAGTTGAGCTTTCCTGTTGGGGTTGATGAGCCGGGTAAACGGCAGAGGGATTGGAGAGCTCTGCAGCAAGTAGCCTCCGGGTGCTGTCGACAGTAGGTCCGGAGTGCCGATCGGAATGCCCGTGGTTGAGCCAAGCAGCAGCAGAACCTGTAAGAGTAACGAAGACCGGGTCAACATGATGGTGGTAGATCAGTACTCAAAGCCTGTGAACGACTGTAACCGAGGTGCGAAGGAAACACCACGTCGGCCATGCGCAGGGATCCTCAGCCTTATATACACGCGAGGCTGACTTTGACGTGAGGCTGACCTTAGAGTGTGTGGAGGCTGACAGGCGATTTAAAATCTTCTCAGACAAGGGAAGGGTCTAGCCGAACATCGTCAGTGTCAGCCACAGTCGCAAACCAGACTGATCGAGAATAGATTGCTTGACATCCTACCTAAAGCATAACATTGTAAAGACAACAGATTGCAGCATATCAACATCGGGGTAACTATGCAAATAGAAAGCAAGTGAACGCATATGAGGGAAAGCATGGGACACTGGGAGAGCACCTAGCAGCAAATGATCACAGTCAAAACAGAAATAGCACTAACACCCCCCAGATCAAATGGCTCCTTTGCACATCGGGCAAAGAAGGGGTGGACTGTGCATCCAAGTCTCCTCTTCGAGCTCCCGCCCGCGTTGCTCCCAGTATGGCAGGTAAGGCGAAGCCAACAGGAAGTAGTCGTTCAACTCAATGCACAGGTTACGGAGCACGCCGAGTCCTCTATCCCACTGACTGACAGTATCTCCAGGCGATGCGTCATTCCTGCAGGCTGCATCGCCGACTTGAAGTACCTCATCTGTTTCTCCAGATGCCATGGTCTCGACGCGTGCAACCAGAGCCTCGAGGTGCTGCCAACCTGGGCCACCTGGATAGCATCCTTCTAATGCTGCGTACACAAAGCGGCGCGCAAGGACCACTTCCTTCACATTGCCTACCGCAGACCACCCATGTTGGGCTGGCCCTGGCCGGCGCACAATCGGACATTGCGCAATCCTGACCAAGGCAGCTGGAAGGTGTGCCAGCGTTGTCCATGAAATGGACATCCCTTCCATGGCCTCGGCCAGAGATGCGGGCTTTAGGTCGGTTACAGACTCCGCTGATGAAACAGCCATAGATCTACACGCATCATCCCACAGATTGTTACTGTCGCATCCCTTAGATCATGGAATTTCAGTGTATTGGAGGATGCAGGATATAGCCAGGACATACCTCCGTTATTGGGTCACAGTACCAGGCCAAGACTGCACAATTGACTTCGCTGTCAGGGTCGACTGCAAGTAGGCGCACAGCACGGTCTCCGCGGTAAAGAGCGGGCGAGCTTTCGATATGCCCGTATTTCAGGAGGCATACGGTGTGAAACCATCTTCTACATGTTTCTCTCGGACAGAAGTGCTGTTCATCGTTGGCAACGGTCGTTCTGTGCCCGACGCCTGCTCAGTCTGTATAGCAAGAGATGGAAGAGAACCTACAAGTTCCCATTCGCGTCTGAGTGAGCATATTTAGGTGTTGAGGAACGCCTGAGGCGTTTCCGTGGTCGTGTATCCTGCTTCTCAGGTGGAAACAGGACGTACGATTGTTTACATAGGCATGTATTGAACCCTAGCTTTGGCTGAAAATTGTTCAGTTCTTTAGTGTGTTTAAACCATGGCCAACTCGCCTCTATGTTTAGCTTATTGTATGTAAGATATGCCCGCGTAAAGAAGTCAGTTGGACCGAGGTCAGGCGGGTCTAGATCTCGTTCGTCATATTCATGAACATGCGTGGCGGCTATATGCGCGGATCTATCAGTGTCCATGTAGATACATCGATTGTATGAGACGCACAAATAAAAGTTAACGCGGAAAGGAAGTCTTCATGATCGGAATATGTGCGCTCGTAAGATGAGCAGTCTGCAGCATCACTGATACAATTGTGAATTCGTAAAGATTAAACTGTGACACGTATAAACAAGACGTACAATGATTTAATAAGGCCAGACAAATCTGTGCCCGACCAATACCAGAAAACGCGGACCCATGGCTCGTTATCACCGGGTCGCATGCGAATGCTTTTAATATGACATAGCCACTCTTCATCGGAACCTTCAACAGGCGATTGCACTCGAGCGCTGGAGATCAACACGTTAGAACGGTGACGGGGATTTGCCGTTATCAGCTATGCCTACTCGTCGCCTTTCCGTAGAGACGTTGGACGCACACGGAATTTGTGTCCTTCACTATTGCAGATAATTTCGGAATCGCTGTCATCGCTCTCGCTGTCAATGAAGTCCACATCGAGCGATTCATATGCGTCGACTGTGCGACAGCACGAACGCTTGAGATGGCCCGCCAGCATGCAAAATTCAAACTCACCCCAGGTTACTCCCAGCCGTGCCATCGTTTTCCATTCGACGCGCGTCGGTGAACCATCGCCCCCAGGCTCCACTGAATGCTTCACCTGCTTTTTCCTTCGTGTGAGTACAGATCTCTTCGTGCGAGGCCTCTTCTTCGGGGAATCTTGCGTGCGTGGCATATCAGTCGCTCAGAGATATGCATACTACGGCTCTTGCATGAAGCCATTTTACTCCTGGAGTCGTGACATGTAGACTTACTGATCTATAGTCCTTCAATCCCTACGGCACGACTTGCACGTCAATTGCGGCTTAGCACGAGTGGATTGTACAAGCTGGCGGAAAGCTTCAAGTTCCTACCTGACGGTTGCGGTACGAGTGTGATATTATCGCCCTCCGATATGCCCTGCAGGATTTATGTAAATGATCGACTCTTCCGGACGCGACTCACGGCGAGACTAGTCACATGCGAACAGGAAGGACGGCGATGATTGGCAGAGGGCTGACGGCACCGCCGACTTAGCTCAACGGAACATCGCTGAGTGGCTGTAAGAGGCGGTTGGGAGTTGTCTGATTCACCCGCCACGCTCCGTCAGAACAATCCAAGAGAAAATGCGATTCATAGGTAATTGTTCAGTTTCTCAGTATGCAAGTAGGTCATCGGCGTGGCTACTGAAGACACTTTCCGTAAGGCGTAAATGTCCGTTTCCTTGTAAGAACGAGGACTAGTCCATCATACAGACGAAGGCAAAAGCGTACAGGTGCAAGTAATCTATATGGTATGGTGGATTATAGGTAAGCAATCAATCGATCGTCCGTTCAGACCCGCTGGCATACACTGCAATTGTAATGCAGCTCCTGACGAAGAATGAGGGCTGCAAACAACGAAGTTAAGCACTAGCACGACAGATCGTGGATGACAAGACTCACGAATAGCAATCAACGCCGCGATGCTGGCAATGGCAAGCACATAAAGTGTGCCGTACTTGATGATGATCCACCGACGCTGGCGCTTCTGCTTGATGGAGTACAGGGGTGCGCGAATCTGTTTTGATGGACGCAGCCAGACTGAAAAGCAACTTAGCACAACTGCGTGATCAAATCGAAATGGAAATACTTACAGAGCATCGTTGAGTGGACGCAGTCGATATAGGGCACTAGGATAGGTGGTGTCAAGAGTAGGAGCAGGAAGTGTCCAGTGAGGAAGTCAGAGCTCCAGAGCGACAATTCGATGATCTTGACGACATATTCTCGTGCTGGTTGCGAGATGGCATGGGATCCGAGGCCACGGCCGTACCATTTGCCCGTCCACCAAGCTCGGTTGGTCTCGTCGTGCTTGAACTCACGCGACAAGAACACGGAAATAAGCACCTTGTGGATGGCGCGCTGGATATAGATGACCGCGATGAGTCCGAGGACGGCATGTGCGACATTCCAGGACTCGAGGAACCACTGCACAAGAATATGAGAGCAGATCGATGGAACACAAAAAGGACTTACGAGGAACTCGAAGAAACCAATCATACCAACAACACCCAGAGAGTGCGCGAGGAACGCCATCACGGAGCCGAACTTCGGGTACGGCGTATCGAGCAGGGGGCCGAGGAACAGGGAGATCATGAAGAGGAGCAGCAAGACTGCTGCGTTCCACACAATCGGGCCAAGCGAAATGATCGCGATACGAATGAGAGGGCTAGGCGGCTGGACGCCGTCGACGGGGAAGGATTTGACGAACAAATAGGCAACAACCATCAGGATGGCCATGACGACGGGGAAGAGAACTTCAGAGAATATGACCGCACGCCATCCAGCACGAGGAACATCGCCTGATAGTTTCTCTGACGGAAGCCCGAGCTTCTTCTTCTTGTAACCAGTTATCATAGTGCGCGACAGACGACAGTAACCGATCCATGAGTTTTGGTGGACACGCGAATTGCCACGGTTCATCCAGCGTAGGAACTCTCTGTGCCACTGTCAACCTCGTTCACGGTCTTAGAAATGAATTGCACTCACCGATAGTCGACGATGAAGTCAGCCGCAGAAAACTGATGTGGGTTGAAGAGGAAGGGTGCGATGCAGAGCGACAGTACAGTTACCCAGAAGTATACGACCCAGCCAGTATACAGAGTGATCGTCACATATAGCAACATGACGAGTTGCCGCATGCCTAAGTAGATACTCGGCCCTGCAAATCGGGAGTACAAAATGCTGAACGAGATCCGTGTTGTCGCGAAACCACGTCCGGTTGCAATATACCGGGCCCCACCGAATGTCAGATTGCTTGCGATGGAATGGGAGGAGATGCGCGTGCCGAAAACCTCGAACGCGGGCGACAAGGACATGAAATGTTTCGTCAAACGGAACACAGCCTTCACTGCACCACGTTCAACGAGCTCTGTAGACGCGATTAGCGGTGGTGAGGAGATTCCAGCGATGAAGCCAGAAGAATACCTTGCAAGAAGAGCGGTAGATAGGCGATTAGGAACACCAAGAAGATACTAATGATACAGTGGTTGATCCATTCAAAGACAGGCGAGAGGTTATAACATCCCGTTGCGCCGATGAGCTGGCCAGAAGAGGTGTATTGACAAAGGAGTAATTGGCTCCTCAGGGTACCCAAGTAGACCACTGCATGAGGACATCAGCCGCAGACTGGAATATAGAAATGAGGGCACTTACTGGTCGTGATGAACACCTGGACGGACAAGATGACGAGCATGTTGTGGATGTGGAAACCAGGATGACCGTAGTAGAAAGTCAGGAAGCGATCAATGGGAAGTTGGGTTCCTAAGTAGTAGTACTCCCGACTGAGCATTTGCTCGCCCATACCAGTACCGATCTTCGTCTGGAAGTTGAGGATCGTCCCGAAACCTAGGTCACGACCTTTACCACATTGATAGTACTCCGTGTGTTTGATGCGACCGCCACGCCCGAAGGCATTCATTCCCGCGTAGATATCCTCGTTCAAGTGCAGACCTTTCTGAGCTTTCGACACGCCGCCACGCGTTGTCATGTAGATAGCGTTCAAGAAGTCGGGATGGCCATAGTGAAGCTTGCCGCCAATCCAGGCCAGCGAGCGGGCAGTAAGCGTACCGAATGTCTGCTCCTTGCCAGCCGCGAGGTCACCTAGGATACCAATGTTCTCCGAGAAGATGTACTCGCGAGCACCAACAATAGCGACCGGGTTTCTCTGGAACTCCTTGTGTCCCCATTGCGCATACGGACTCTGGCTGGACACAGCGTACTCCTCGAACTCACCCAGGACGTTACGGATCTTGAGACACTCCTCTAGGTAGTTGTCCTGATTAGCATCGATGAGCTGCAGATACTCGCCACGGTAGAAGATAATGGCGTGGTTCTGGTTGTCCGACTTGCCATCGCCGAGAATGGGATTACCTGGAAGCTCGATACGGAACTTGGGGCGACGACGGCCGGTCTCAGGGATGAACTCGGAGTGACCGTCGATGAGGGCAGAGAACAGGCGGACTTCCCCGCCCTCCTTGCGCCCGGGTTCTTCCTCGAGGTAAGCGATCTGGAGGTCAGGGTATGCGCGCAGCAAAAATTCGGCATTCTCCTGTTCCTCTCGATTGAACTTCGAGTAGCGCTGCATCGATACGACGAATTTAAACTTGCGGCGGGACATGCGCTCCAACTCGCGTTCCAACTTATCGGTATTGCCACCGAAGAGCTGAACGACCTCAGGATTCTCCACACGGTACAGGAGCTTGATCGCCTTGGCATAGTTCATCATTCCAGACACCGTCCGGTAGAGCGTCTGTGCACGGAGGGATGCCCAGATACGTGTACGAAGAGTGAACTCGGGAGCGGCGCTCTTGAATCCGATGCAGTAGAAGGGCAAATCGTCGGTCTTAGACTGACCCTTCTCTTCCGAACCGAACGGCGTCGGCCCACTGTACATGGCTGACTCCTCCGCAAGAATCTTCGTGTCCTTGACAAAGTTATCCCACTCGACGGGGTGAAGCTGCTTGAGGTACTCCAAAAGCGTAACGCGAGTGTTCTGGTCTTCCTCTCTGATGATCTCCCTGAGCGAGAGCAGAATCTACACGGCGAACCATTACTTATACATCAGGTGTCAAAAGAAATACCACGAACCTTCTCGCTGTAATGCGGCGTCAGGACGGTGAATGTCGGCATGGCATCAACCGGCAACGGCTCGGGTACGGCAGTGGTGAGTGACTGTGCAAAGAACGAGATACGACGCTCGGCTTCACTACCCGGAGTGAAGAATTCGCCCTTGAAGCCCTTGTCGCTCTGCGAAATGAAGAACGGCGGCGCACGGAGACTGCGGCGGCCATCCTGGCCAACATCAACCTGGTGATAGAGCAGTTTCTGGACGTGATCAATGGACAATAAGTGCTCGCGATACATCGAAATAATGATCGCGTTCCAGATCTGCGACACCAGGACCTACAGAATATATCGTTAGATGCTAAGAATAGTGGAAAAGTGTGATTAAGATCATACCTTGGGCTTATATTTTGTCTCCATGTCCGCAGTTGCGAGCAGTTTGGCGTAGATCCGTTTCGGCAGACGAGTATAGATATCCTTCCACGGCGTCCAGATCGACAAGCCGAGTGCGAACGACCGAGCGATGCTGAGCACAGTATTCCAAACGATCCACCACAAGAACGTGTCGAGGAAGAATAGGACGAGATCCATGAGGTACATGATCGTGAGTGTGAACGCGGCCTGGTTCCTGCAGAGAGCTTCGCCGAAGTACTTGTCGTTACAATTCTGGATCTTCATTCCCACCATAACGAGGATGGAGTTTTTGAACGAGAGTGTCAAGAAAAAGTACGACTCCGTCAACTTGCACCCGAAGATGAGGATCCAGAGCAGAAGAGACGACAGCCGAGCAGAGTATCTGAGGGATGGGTAGCTTGCCGTGAAGGTCTGGCTAGCGAGATACTTCCGCGATTTGCCTGCGACTCGATCGCCGAACATTCGCCCGGATGGGAGGATGGCAAAAAGCAACGTTGCGACGACCGAGATAAAGAATTGGACGATACCGAGGATCAGCGCCAATGAGCCACCTGGCGACGTCGACTCGGCAATAGCGATGTAGATGGTTGGTCCCCCGGTCAATGCGAGCGTGATCAAGAGGAAGAGGAGCCGTCGTGTCAGATGCGAAGTATTGTTCCAGGTTGTCGGGATGTACGAGAATTCTGCCAAGGTAGCGGCGATCATGATAGCAGAGGCAACTGCTCCGCCCAGCGCCGTCGCCGACCACCTCATTGCAGGAGAATTCAGGCCGTTGTAGATTGTTGGCGAGTTGAACGATGTGTAGAAGAAGTACATCGCGATATGTATGACCCAGATACGGTTGAAGTTCACTAGTAGATGCCCAAACGAGCGCTTCTCGTAGTACGTCTTGAAGAATGCGCGGTTCCAGTCGATCCTCTCGAACTGCATGAAACGCTGTGCCGGAGGCAGATCGACTAAGCGGGTCTGAGGAAGGGTAAGCTTCCATACGCAATCGATGCATTACGCAGCTATTCACCTTGTCGTTCAACACAATACGGGCAATTCCCTCCGGGTACCAAAATAGCTGATTCACATCATCGTACCCGATGATACTTTCGTGATCCCGCTCCCGCCGGACGAACTTGCCATCCACGACCTCGTAACCTTGGTCGCGAATGAATCTGTAGAGCGGTTTGACAACTGTGCGCAGGTAAAGTCCTTCAGAAACGGAATCGACTCGATTTTGGCACTCCGGGGATCGGTAGTAGTCGTCCGCACATTTGAAGATGAAGCACAAGCACTCTGGAACGAAGCGCACTTGCGCAGCCTCCCCCCAACACAGTAGCCAAAGCGCGATCTGTCGCATTCGATCGTATTGGCTCATGTTGTTCATTGCCTGCCGCCATCGGTCCATCGCACTATTCAGCGACTTCTCAGAGGCATTCTTCGGCACTCCTCTCTTCTTCCCCGCCGCCGATTTGAGCCGCTGCAAACCTGGATTCTGCGTCTGGCCTACAGCATCGTCGAGGTCTAGCTGCGCCGCGAAGTACCATTTCCGATAGTTCGCGTGCTGGCCCCCAATGTAGTCCGCGTGTAGCGTCAACAGCGCCTGATTCGGCGACATCCGCGACGCACGACTATCCAGTAGCTGCATCGTGAAATCAAACTGTCCCGCGCCCAATCAGTTCCGTAAGACCACTCAACGAAACCGCTTCCGCGCACCATGTTTCGCATCGAATCGCGCTGAAAGCCAAATTTCTGCGTTAAGTCCAGGAAAATATCCTCGATTTCTTCCTTGGACAGCGGTATTTGGCGCTCTGGGCTCCACGCCGGATAAGGCTCCCGTGTGCCCGTTGCTCCGCCCGCGTCGAGAAATGTAGGTGTCGATCCCTCTGACATTCCCATACGAGGAGGGCCCAAGGACTCAGCGGACGGTGCATACTTCGTGCCGTACACCTCCGCCTCCGAATCGGTGTCGGGCGGTGGGCCTGGGGGACGTCATAAGCGCTGAGCCGAATAAATAACAATTGCATCGCTCACCGTATGGGTCGTACGCGCCGTGGTGATCATAGTAGCGATCATCGTCATTCAGGCCAGTGTTGCTGCCGTCAGACATGTACGTATCCCTGCGACCATAGTTGTCTGAATCGTTATCGTAGTATCGCGCATCCGCTGCTTGGGAGTTACTGAAGGGGTCGTGGTCGGAGGAGGGGGGTGAGGAGGAGATGTACATGCCTTCCTGGCTCCTGGAGCCAGAACGACCAGCCATGAAGGACGAGTTGCTCGTCGTGGTCGGCGACGGGGGAAAAGAGTGTCGTGCAAGGCTGCGGCTGGGAAGCGTCACTCCCAACAGCTAAGATCCACTTTGGATCGGAGTTTCAGGACGACTTCTAGTTTAGGCAGGCAGTGGCTGACCACTACTCTGTTTTCGCAGCGACAGATATCGACGGCTTGTTTTAAAGCAGGCCAGTGTGACTACGGGGAGACAGAACGCCGAATGCCTAGCGTGTAAAGTCCAGGACCAGTGACATTCATGCAGTACATACTGCAAAAGAAGTGAGGTGGGTAAAAGTTCACTCGGAGCTTGAAGTTTTGTACATGATGCCAAGTCTGATGCCGGAACTCGAGCCTCACGGTCGCCTCTCCTCACAGCAACCTCACAGCATTCGCAAGGCGCGCACACCTGACTCTAATGTCTACGGGAATGCTCGCCGATTTCGCGAACGTATGAATGCAATCGTTTTGCTGAGTGACCCTAATACGTGAACGTGTGCTCGTCACTAAATCCAACTGGTGGGTGACCTTGCGCCGGTTGTCGAGTGACCTCCATGCAGTCCGGGAGCTTTCAAGGCTCCATGCCGAAAACTACAGTGAGATATGCTCTTTGTTCTCGGGTGCTTATCCGATAGGAGCACCTGTTCATGCGAACAAAGGGCGCTAGAACAAGCCGGCAGCCACCTTCGAGAGACTCAAACCCATACGACCATTTGGGCTGTAACTTGCAGCTGACGCGCCTCTTTACGCTGTTCTTTCCTAACGTACATATTCCCAGAGCCATCCTACCGTCGCAACCTGCGTTCTGGACCTAGGACTTCCTGTGAGTGGCGTCATTCTTCGTACTCACGCACGGGTCTCGTCAAAACTAAATCGACGCGGTTACCGGAATTAGCGCGTCGCTGAGTAGCTTCTCACAGAATTTTTCTCGCTATCGTGCAATTGCCTCTTGCCGGTCGATTACGGAGATACATACACCCCCGATGAGCGAACCTCTTCGTAACAAGCGACCTCGGGTGGATTCCAACGATGGGGCCTTCGTCAACCACCCATCTCTGTACTTCGAGGATGGCAATGTAATCCTGAGTTGCGGTAGCACATTATTCCGTGTGCATCGTTCATTGCTTTCGAAGCACTCTCCTGTCTTTCGAGACTTGCTGGAAGACAAAGAAGATCAGAAGCAACATTACCTGCGAGAATGCATCCACGTCGCTTTGAGCGACACCGGAGAAGAAATGGAGGCTCTGCTGAACGTCATATACGACGGCCTGTGAGTATGCTACACTTTTTGTTAAAATACCACAGCCCAATTGGTCTTATCTTTGTGTCAGGCGTTTCGATCTGCTGCGCCTCACAGTGGACACATTCCCAACGCTTGCGAATGTCTTTCGTATGAGCACGAAGTACAGGATTGGTCGCCCTCGTGAGGAGATTATCCAGCGTATTAAGCGTGATTGGCCTTCGGACCTCGCTATGCACGACGTCAAATTTGAGGTGCTACGCCGCGAATTGATGCAACAATCCGCGTTCCTCACACAAGCCGGGAGAATCGTCGCAAATCCCCAATATAATACAGCCATAATGCAGAACGAGAACGGCGTCATCCGCCCGGCGTCTGTCATCGCGCTTCTCCGACAAGGCGGATGCAACACACCTGAGATACTGGCCCCGCTTTTCTACGCGCTCAGCTGCGATACCTGGCAGTTCGGAGGGCCAGCAGTAGGTCACCATGTAGCCCCGCTCGCCCATGATGATATCGAGCGCTTCATCGCCGGATTAGAACGTTTGCGCAGCGCTCACGCATCTGCTGCTAGTCACTGCAGCTTGATGCTCACGCCCTCGCACGCAGAGTCATGCCTGCCCGGTGTGCGTCGATACTGGAGCGATCTTGCTGGAGCGATGTTGAGGCGAACCGGGCGACGTCGCCAGCCCATTGAGGAATGGAGGGACGCGGCAATCCTCGCCAGTCAACCGGGCTACTTCTCGCCGTACGCTGTCTGTGGTGGATGTGTTAGGTCGCTCATCGCTGGGATGTTCGAGATCCGTGGGCGTCTCTGGGTCCAGCTCCCCCATTTCTTCGAGTTGGTCCAATAATTCCAAAACCTTCTGGGGTTGCCTAAGCGAAGTGAGTATGTGGGCGTTACGTACATTTCGTTCTCTTCGTCGACAGTGACCCGAGTAATACAGACGCCCTTTACGGTAAGTGGTATAGGAAATATGTGCAATAATTCACATGGTCTATTTCTTGCACATGTGTATTCGTCAGGCGACATGTTACGATCAGGCATCGGTGAGTAACTCCCGTCGTGTGCGACTTTACCCTGTCGACAGAGCTTCAGAGCTTCAGCGCATCGGAGGTTGCCAACTGAAGCCATAGGAAGCCAGATGTCTACGCAGCAGCATGCTTCGAGCATCCACATGTGCCCTCCAGCCGCCAGACTCGCCGAAGGCGTGCAATTGTGTATCATGTGCGAATCTGGGACACACGCGCATAACACATTTAAGGACCGGCACATGCGCTGACGACGACGCAAATAGACTGTGGTGTCCCCACGCGTGGTGTCGGTCAAAGTAACCGTGGTTCTCATGACCTCAATGGAACCCACGAGGCCACAGTAAGTAGAGGGTGGCGATGACAAATTGTAGTAGCCATTATGTGGCAGTGGCACATGAGCTCCGCGATTAAGTAACGGGACTATGCTCACCAGGCTTACGACCACGACGAAGCTGCGGGAGCAGGTACAGGCTCTGGTAATACGCCTGACCTTCCAGACACTGGGCGTGGCTTCCAGGCGAATAGGCAGCGCCGACACAGCCTAGGTCACGAGCCTGAAAAGCAGCTCGAAATTTCAGATAGATCGCTTCAGTTCGATAATTTGTTTGAGCCTACAAGCTCTTACGCGAATGACAAGTAATCTCTGAGGTGCTTGACAAGGCTGCGCTACTGACCGTGACGCAATGTCATGCAGACGGTGTCCCACGGAGTCCTTCAAAAAATCCAGGAGCCTGGCGATATCGTAGCGTAGAGACCGCGTTGAACTGGAAACCTAGCGTTTCATAAGCTACATGAGTGAATCACACGACAGCATCTCGAGCCTCGGGATTCAAGCACTGGCCATGTAAGACAATTTCAGGCCAGCAACTGTTAAGTCCACAATGCCGAGGAGCCGAGAAACGCGCCCCACGTGAGCAGACGCGTGCATATCACGACGCGTCCTGCTGTGCATCTGCTCCACTACGCAAGGCTTCTCAACTGCGGCTCACCACTCCATGAAGTTTTCACTGCTGCGCAGGAAGTTTTATATGATACATATGCGCTCGTTGCGGATGGAATTGTGTTCCTCCTCAAACTGTTGAATACCACCTCCGAGCCCCCTTCGACGCTCGCGCTTTGTCCTAGCATTACAAATGCTATTGTTAACGATGAAGTCTCTTTATTTCTTCAAGTTTTTTGCCACTATTCTGCAGCGTGCTGATGCGCGTACGTTTACGGTCACGAACAGATGCTCGTACACAATATGGTGCGAACTTCATCGTTCGTCATCTTAATCTTAAGAAATTCTGAGTGGACGTTCTGTTTATACAGGCCTGCAGTACGTAGCGAACGAGAATTCACATGCACTCTGCATATTCCTGACATATAGCTGGCAGATCTTCACGGGGCCTTCCGCGAACAAGTCCACGCCTGATTATTCCACAGGGCAAGTGTCCCCTTTGAGGTCCAGTAGCCGTACAACATCGTTAACTTGTCGAATAACAAAAGTTGGGAAGCACAACCAGACGCCTCTGTGTCTTTCACCGTTCCAAACGACTGGACCGCTGGCCGAATATGGGTTAGTGAAGGCAATTGCCAACCATCACGTCTGCCACATAAGAAGTTGACAAGCTTGCATGCCTAGGGGAGGACAGACTGCAATTTCAACAACGACAGCGCGAGCGGTCAGACCTGCCTTACAGCCTGGTGCATTGGCGGGCTGAAGTGCAACCCCACAACTGGTACGGTAAGTCCACTTTCAGCAAGAGAGAGGCCCTACGGATAATCTCTGACCGTTCCTTTAAAATCAGGGTGTGCCTCCAGCGACGGTAGCAGAATGGACCTTGAATGGGGATGATAGTCAGGATTATTATGACGGTAAGATCAGCCCTTTCTCCGTTGGCATAATTTCTACTAAAGATATTATCAGTCTCCCTTGTTGATGGTTTCAACCTACCGATGCAAATTACCAACAATGTCGGCTGCTCAGTCGCAGGTTGCACAGCAGATCTGAATTCCGTCTGTGAATATCTATTGTCTCGTCAGCTGCATTTTGGGATCTTGATATACCTGTCACAGGTCCGAGCGTTCTCAAGGGACCTACAAACTCATCAGGTGACACTTTGGGATGCCAGAGTGCATGCGATGCTAACCTCAGCGGTGACACGAGTGAGTACCGCAGCACCACAGATAGAAATGTGACTGACACCTTGTCCAGCCGACTCACCTAACTGCTGCAGTGGAAGCTACAGTACGGCGGCTACTTGCCCGCCGTCAGGCGTCGAATACTACAGCTTCTTCAGTGGGCTTTCTTGTGTGATTTTCAAGTAATCCTGTTGATGATTGTACAACAGAGGGGAATTGCCCTGATGCATACGCATATGCGTACGACGAATCCAGTGGAACAGCTCTGTGGAAGTGTGATTCTTCGCTGAGTGCCGACTATACCTTGACCTTCTGTCCGTGAGTAGGCGTCTGTTGCCTCTGCGTGTTTCTTTGCAACGTGCTGACAGAGAATGAGGTCTGGAGCCGTGGCTGTGTCATCCTCAGGCACTGTTTCCTACTCCGCCTCTGCCACGCCTTCAGCCACAGGTAATCCCGCATCTTCAGCTGCAATATCAGTTCCGTCGTCCCTCGGGACAACATCATCGGAAACTTCTCAGAATGCGGAGAGCGGGACAAGATCGAGCCTGCCAGGTCTCAGCCTGAGAGGATATTCATCCTTGGTCTTATGGTTCATACTCCTTGGGGCTCCTGCGTGGGCCTGGGCACTTGAGGACATACTGTGGCTTTGAGGCACGGCGTGCGCTTCCAAGATCTTGAGCAGCGATGTTGACGTTTCATATGTACTATAATCCAGCGTTAAAACATATGCACGACGATGAAGGCGAATCTCGGAAACGTTATACCGCCACGAGCAATGTGCAAGGAAGTGTCGCGACCCGACAAGAACTGCCGAGCTGTCAGAAAATTAGCCAAGTGGATGGCATCTCGCGAGTGAATTTGACTGTAAGTGCCACATACATGCTATTTACCGCTTGGAAACTAGCGTCGAATTTTGGTATAGGATAATTGTATCTGTCCGATAGCATGAGAAGCTGTCAGTATTGTCGATTTATTGTCGCCACTAGTCGCCACTACGCTTCGGACATTTCCGTAATTTGATCATGTTTCTTTCGTATTTAGTGTACGTGCACCGTTTTGCTTCTTTAAATATTTGCAACGACTATCGGTCAGCTTTTGAATCTGGACAGACACTTCACTTCGTCGTGCTGTGTGCTTCTCCTTCGGAATTCAATGGTGATCGCTCTATATACCCCGTGCCTATGCAGGTACATGCAGTTTCACGAGTCGCGCAACAGTCATGAATACCATGTCGGCATGTCCCCCGGGCGGAGGAGGCCACTCGCATGTTACGCTGCACGCGTCCAGCATTTGACGGCTCTGCATAAACCTATTAGAGACCTCGTTTAGCGGAAGCAAGTCCGACGTATGATGTGCGCCACGTGGGGACTACCGGGAACCAGCCTGGCGTGTCTTGTGTTCGCAAATGTTTTCACGTCGGTTCGAGAGTCCGTAATGCAAGTTACAACCGTAGCAGCGTTCAACTGTTGAGATGGGCGAAGCCCTCAAGCGGATATAAAACTGGAAAAAAAACTGTTGAGATAAAATGTACATGCCGGAGGCTATGGCTTTCGTAAGTTCCGAGTGTTCTGCATTATCTGGAAGGGCTTCTGGATGCGAAACCAGACGCCAATCCCTGAGCCCTGAGGGCCCGTAGAGTCTAGTTTCAGGGAGATCAGGTCACTGACATGGTGCAATTATGCTGGTCAGTGATAGGCATCTCATTTTTCGTATATTTGGCTGTCTTGCGCATAGGTTAATATTTACGGCAAGGCTATGTACTACGCATGAAAGGTGCTCGCCGCCAATGACAGCAGTCTTACTGATTTTGGGAAGGTGCAAGGTGCTGATCGAACAAACTTTTGAGATCTATCGGGAAATTGACCCGGAATAATTAGCCCTTCCCTAACTAGACATTGAATTACTCTCTAATTCGATTGTATTGTGTATGTATGATTGCGTGTTCAGCTACTACTTCTGCCTCAGAGCATTTGACCTCGACAAAAGCTCAAAATCTCAGGTGGCCAGAAGCGTGCTGACGTGTCCAATCTGAGTTTGCGAAACTGGCTTTACTGTCTCACCATTCGTAGGGCTTGAACCGCTACATCCATGTCCCAGACATTCCCGGTGAGTAGAGCTGATATTTCGTCATAGGACGCGCCTGTAATGAACACCCAGCAAGCCAGGAGAATAGCATCTTCACCCATTGGCAAGCCTGTCGCTTTTGTGACAGGTCAGTTTGCTGGCCACACGCTGCGCGCTGAACTGGAAGAGCTCCAGAAGGCAGATTTAGGCCGAAAGTGCGTACCTATTCGTCTAGACAGCGTGGTTGGTTCACCATTATGTCGCAGGTATGCTCGCAAAGACCGGCGACCCCTAGACCCTCCGCCAGTCGTGCAGTTCCGTTTATTCGAGGTGTTCAACCATGGCACTCCGCGCGAGACGGAGAGCGAGTTTGACAATTACGAGTACACTTGTTTCTCTCCTGCTCATACATAGACTCGTAGCTCAGTCTTTGTTTTTAGCGAGGTCACGAATCTCGGCATTCTCTGTCATGTCGACTTGTTCCCTATTACTGAAGATACCGATGACGCTGACGAACTGTCGGGCGGCGGCACTGTTCAAAATACTACTCCGGTGTCATATATTGACTCGACGTCGTCCGCCACGTCCAGAACTCTCGACTCGACTTATGGCAGATCGCCGGCACCCACATACACGGTCCCGTCGCTCCTGCCATCCTCGCTGTCGAGCTTCACTGGATCTATCCCCGACCCCATACCATCCCATGGCGGATCTGCATACTCGGAACTCTATCCCTCATATCCACCGTCGATGGCACCATCCTCGGCTGGACTTTCGGCTGGACTTCCACAGTCCACCTCACCTCTTTCGGCGCCACATCCACCATTCTCTCCGACTTTGCACCCGTTTTCCGCTCCAGCGTCGGCGCCACACCAGGCGATGTCTGACTCCCTTTCCGCTCCAGCATACGTGCCTACGACGTCCACGGAGATGTTCCCTTTCCCTGCATTTGCGGCGACGTCTTGGGCGAGCGAAATGTTCTCTACGCTATCGCATGCACCACTACCTACCATGCCACAATTACCGACACCAAGTCCCTCATCGAGTGGACAAGATTTCTCAATGTCAGCTTTCCCGCCATCATCCACTTCCCTGCAGATGCTCTCTTCACCTGCATCACCCAACATGTCCCAATCATACGCACTTTCTCAAGGGTATCCGCTTTCGGTGATCCTTCCATCGCTGCCAATCCCGGCCTCAAGACCATTGTTCGACCATACTAATTCTTATCCGGTCCAGTCAGCGAGCATAGGCGGTGAGGCAGACACTGACATCGTTGCGTACTACGGAGATCACCCCATAAGGGAGAGTTCCAAATGCACACATGCGCTCGCGGGCACAACATTCGTGCAATCTGCCAGCCTGGAGTACAATGGGAAGAAGGTCCTGATGTTTGTGTTCTCTGTAGGTATCGTCTGGCACCTCTACGTGGTCTAACCTTGGTTAGGCCGCATATCAGTCACTGACGTTCGTGCAGGATCTTGCGGTCAAAATCGAGGGCACGTTTGTACTCCGGTACCGTGTGTTCAATATCTCCTCGAATGCCTTTGTTGGCTCCGGAATCCCCATCTTGGCGGAATGCTATGGGGGACCGTTCAAAATCTACTCCACCAAGGAGTTCCCCGGCCTGCGGGCGTCCACCGATCTAACCAAGGTCCGTCGTCATCACTATCTACCCGCGATTACTGACTCCACGAGCAGCACATCTCGTTTCACGGCGTTCGGCTCAACCTGCGCGAGAACGAACGGAAGCGACGTAAGAAAAACGAGATCGAGGCCGAGCGCAGGGCGGCAGCAGCAGCAGCAGACGACAATATGTCCGAGGCTGATTCATCCCCCGCAGCCCTAAGCCCTGTGAGCTGCGAGCCCTCTACTTCGGCTGCCAGAACCACCGGTATCCGGCGGAGCAAGCGAAATAAGCGACAAAATCGTGACAAAGGAAGGAACTCTGAGGATGACAGCGGCGACTTCGACGCATGAACATAACCTATCCCATTTCAGTACGCACATCCCACTGCTATCGTGTTCTCGTTGTTTCGCTTTACAGTTATCAACGCATATCATACATTATTGCCGCCATCTAATTACTATACATCCGGCGACTCGCGTCTGCCATTCATAACTGTAGACAAAATCACGGCTCTAGTTGATTTTCTTCCGGAGACTCCCGCCTGTCTGTCAACTTATACGAATGGCAGGAAGGGGGGAGTGGGCCGTATCCCTGGGAATAGGCATGCTATTGGCGTTTGTACGATAGGTCATTGTATCCATATCACGTACTAGTTTATCATCGCCTGTGTTAATTGTACTTCGGTATACGGAGTGCTCTAGAACACATACCATGTTTGCAAGATGTCATATCGTTAGAGACTGGAGTATAGTACCACATGGCGCGACAGATACGTGTTTACGATGTCTGCGACCGTCGCCTCCGAGGTGTTCATCGTAGACGCGCGTGGGTCAACCAATATCGAAAGGCCGCATACGTCAGAACAGAGAAACAAATAACGCAGATCGTAAGTAGCTTGACGTTCACAACGGATGTTTCATGTTCCACCTGCGTGCACCTTAATGTACTGCTCAGCCGGAATCATTTGAAAAATGGACTCACCACAGAGGCGAATGGAGAGAGAATAGGGATCGTAAAGTGCGATGGCATAGACCACCGTGTAGAATGCGTGTGATTCTGGCTACGCGCAAGTAGATATAAAACCACCGCCGCAAATGTAATAAGACATGTGAGGAGAAGGACCTATAATGCGGACATCGGTAAACCTCATGGATCGTTACTGTCTGCCACGTACAATGAGTCTCTCCAGTCTGGTATGTCGTTCATCGTGGTACTGCTGTATCGCGTATACCTCACGCTGCAAAACCATCGGACATGAGCACCGTACAATGAAATCCACGAGGAACCAGATTCACAGCACGTTTCTCCTCTGCAGTTTCAATGGCCTGCGCCATCTCGCTCTGGTGCGCAAGCCGAGCTGAGAGAAGCGTTTCCGCGGTCAATGCGCGCGCAGCCCAATATTGCTCCGAGGCGGATGTCGCAGTCAAGGACTTGACAGTGGTCACCATTGCCTTCTTTGAGGGCGGTGATACGATAGGTGCGCGCGCATACATCATGGTACGGCTTTCGGATACAGCAGAGGACGGGATCACAGAACCATGTTGTGTTAGATGCTTGCTAGGCGAAGAGCTGGACGGCGCATGATGTGGAGGCTTCCTAAGTTTGTTCATGTGGTCTATGTGGTTCTGCTCAGTTGGTGCCGCTGACAGCGCGTCGGATCGTGCATATGATGATACGTGACGAAAGGCTGCAAACCACACAACCTCGTGCACGAGAATATGGTATTCTGTTTTTTATAGTTCATGGAGATAGGGAGATTTATGTACTAAGGCGTAGGACAAGTCAATACTCACCTCAGAAGGGAAAACATATGGCAGTCACAGTTTGCAGAAACTCGGGCATGCACCCTCATGCACCCCCAGTCGAATGTGGCAGACGGATGCGGCAATCGCCGAGATGCGCGCTTGCAGACTCACAAGCTTTGCTCGAACTTGAATGACTATTACCAGTGACCAGTCCGGTCAATCGTGGCCGAGTACCTACAAAGCCCTTTAAGAAGAGGTCGAAATATGAGACTAAAGGGGTCTACGAAAATTTTCTGTCGAGGATCCCATTTTGCTCGGGGTATCACTTTGATAATTCATATCTTGACCGCTCACAGGATCTGTCCCTGAGGCCTGAGGGCTCAAGGACCTTGCGCCCTGGACTACTGAGCAGGGTCACATCTGATTGGAAGTCATTTAGGGCCGTAATACTGACAACTTCATTGCTCGCTTCTGATGAAATATCTCAGCCCGATGGTCATCATTGGATGTATACACCTCCCGGTAGCAGACGCATTTGAATATGCGGCTCCAAGATTCATCCAATATATCCTGGCCAATCTCATGCCGCGATTATACAAGAAATCTGATGGCACATACAGTACACGTACCCGAAGAACCATGTGCATGCCCAATTCTCACATTCCCTTTGGTCGCCCTTGTTTTGTAGACTCTGTACTTTCTAACACACATACTCCAGAAGGAGGTCTGCACTATCAGGACCATAAATACGTTGGCCACAAGACGAAAAAAGAGGACATGAAACGTTTCGACGACGTGAAGGTGACCTTCGACGCCGGTCAGAAAGTGCGGGGGATTGTGGACACGAACAGCTATTTGATGAGTGCAGTATGAATTTCACGAGTCACTCTGCTTATCCTCATGATAGATCGTCGCGCTGGACACGGAGGTAAAGGCATGATGCATTAGTCTGTCTGCGAGCACCACTGATTTACATCTCGAGCGATGGGACGGTAGATCTCATTGCTACCAGTCAATCCTACGGGGCCAATACAAGCCAAATCGACCGACCGCCGCGTTTGTGTCACCGTGCGACGTGCGCTGCTTTCACACGGTGCATGTGACACCACTCTGCTTGCCAGTGCGTGGAACGTTAATACGGCAGTCTTGACCTTCGCGCTGCATGTTTGACTATTTTGCGTCCAAACCCTCGGCCTCATCTCTGACACATGGAGCCACGACAGCGATAATTGATCCTCCACATCTTCGAGCGCCCAAATCGCCCCGACCACGACGCCGACATCCACCTACGTTACGCCCACTACATCCAGAATTCTGACGGCAGTAGACGTTCCATCTGTCTCAATCTTGACTCCTACTACCGCGGATGCGCCACCAGCCTCCAGCTCTTCTCGTCTTCGAATTTCAAGTCGCCGTCGTCCTCCAGCTTCCCCAGCTCAGACACACCAGCTTCGCCACCGGAGTCTGTACCCTCGAGTAATACCGAATTGTCGACGATGACTAGTGCCGCCGTTACATCGAGGAGATGTCTACGTTCGAACAGACTAATCTTGATCAGTTAAAGTTGGCATCTGTATGGATGGGGGCCTAATCTACGCAGGTCAATAAATACTACTTGAATGGTTGCTGATACGAGGTCAGTCCGGTTGGGATTCGCTACTATATAGACTGTTCTGTATAGATGGGTTCCTGTTCATGGATGGAGGGACCGTAGATCCCGAGAAACATTTTGTCAAATTTGAAAGTAGTAACGCCTCCGAAGTGATTCAAAATGGGGTGGTGTTTATTACTTTATTGAAAACGTAATAGCATTAATTTTCGCCTAGTCTCAGCTCCTTGTTCTCTTTCATCGCAGTCGAGAGCGTCGTCCAATAGTGAAGGCGAGATCTTAGTCCGACCTAACTGATGTTACGTAATCCCGCCCCTTCAGCTGGCGCGTCTAATTCGGATTGCCTACCGACTGCCATGTTCCCTTCCGCGCCGGCCCTCAAAGAAATTATCAGCGCGCCCTTCAAGCGCTCCCAGCTTGGTCTCTTCCATGGCAAGATGAAGCAGTACGGCAACAATGTTCCCTTCTCGATGCAGAAAACGCGGCGCACCTGGTTGCCCAACATCCAGAACAAGCGCTTCTTCTCCGACGCATTGCAGGAATTTGTACAGGTGAAAGTATCGACGCGGGCGCTGAAGACGATCAACAAGGTGAATGCTGACGCTGCTGACCTTACCTGACGACGCTGATAACTTCCGGACGAAGTATGGCGGCATCGACACATACCTGCTGAAGACGAAATCTGACCTCCTCGGTTGGGAGGGAATGCGACTGCGCATCATGGTACGGGAGCGGATATCCAGTCGCCAACAACAAGCAGATTCTCCTGCACAAGCCTCGTCATGACTTTAGCCCATGAAGACGTCTTGTCCGTGAGCATGTCTACTGCATCCAAATCCTTGATGGCTGATGTTTTGTCGCTGTGAAGTCTTGTTTACTGTCTTATCCCATATCAATGGGTACCCGACCGCGCAATCTGGATGTGCCAGGATTTCGAATGCCTAATGATGAATGTGCGATGTCGCAACGTTCCTCGGCCTTCTTGCCAATAAAGGGGCAACTTTGGGCTTCTGTGTGTATGCGCTGTCCTCAGAAGAGTGCATATTTTAGGCACAGCGCTAGTAATGAATGACTAGCGATATACCACAGCAGTTCAATGAATGAAGCCAAATTTGTCGCGGTACTTCTTCGTGTGCAGCGTGCTCTACACCTATTGAGCCAAACGATATGGAAGACTTGTACAACCCAGGAGTCTTCTCTGAGCCGACTTCTATCAATGAGTGATCAAATTGATGATGCGGTGTGGTCAGTCCGGAATATACATGCAAGTACGGAGCAAATCGGCATGCAGATGGTAAGGATGCGGGCCAGGACGTAGCGAACATACAGTAGACACCAGAATCGTGAAATATTAGTGCTGGGTGTGAACAACTATGGACATGAAGCGATGAAGGATGCCGGAGAAGGAGGGTGGTAATACATAAGCCGTGTGAAGACTGGTGCAAAAGCGTTCAATGGGAATGCAGAGGTAATAAACTATGCACTGGAAAAATAATGCTGAAATGCGTACCAAGATGCCGAGGGTCCAGAGCGACCAGAAAATCCGTAATAATGAGAGTCTAGCCTGGAAAAATGGGAAGTGCACAAATGGGATCATCGCACAACCCCAGGCGCACCGATCCAGCCATCGTGAGTGCGGCGCCCGTCGATTTTCGCATATGGAGGCGGCAGGTCCATTGACAGCGTGAACTCCGGTGCGACACTATCATCCCCGTGCTCCGTATCGAACAGATCCAACTTCGTCTGCGACTCCAACATGGGTTTCTTGAGAGGCTGGAATAGCAACGCCGTCGCCGGGAGCGTCTGCTGTGCTGACACGGGCACACCCGTGGGTGGCGGTGTCGGATACGCTAGAAGCCTTGGCGTATCTGCCTCCTGTGCCAGGGCCATGTCTAGTCCATGCACGGGATGCATACTGTGCGTCCGAGAGCGCATCGGCGGCCGCTGAAGCAGCCCACTCTCCATCGCCTGCAACGTGACAACCTGCGCAGGCACCCCGTCCTCCTCGTCCTCCTCGCTGACAGGGAACAGCGTCGACAGGTTGTGCTCGCCCGTTGTTGTCTCGAGCATGCGCGCATCGAGGAGCTCGGGCGTGACCGCCTCGCAGCGCGCGAGGGGCGAGCTGCGAAACGGCATCGCGAGTCCGACGCCCGCGAGCGTCGCGCTGCCCATGAACGCGCAGTTTGACCACGCGCGTCGCCGGCTCTTCACCTCGAGCACCGCGAGGAAGCTGCGCTCGTCTTGCAACATGCCGGCGCGCGCCGCATCCATGCCCGAGACGAGCTGCCGTAGGCGCAGGCACTGCGCAGATAGCGCAGTGTACTCAGCGAGATCCTCGGGCGAGAACTCGGCTGGTGACGGCGAGCGAGGGACGTGCTGCCGCGGGAGGTGGATGTCCGTGCTGGAGGACGCCGGGGGCGCAAAGGGTGAGACCGCATGCGAGTCGACGGGGGTGTGCACTGACGAGCCGTCCGTCTCCGTGCTCGTGCTATCCGTCATCGACTGCTCGTCCACGTCGTCGTCATAGAACGGTGCCTCTGCGACGGACACGAGCGTCGAGCCTGACATGTCTGACGCCGTCAGACTGCGCGTCCGAGGGGGCGCTGTGTCCATAAGGCTCGGCGCGACGCCGCCAGCCTCTTGGACGAGCCACGCCATCTGGTCCTCCGTGCGCCGTAGCATGTTGTGCGCGACCCACGTCACGTAATTAGGACCGAGTTGGAAGCGTGTCTTCAGCTCCGAGACAACAAATTGGCGGAACGCGTCTACCAAGGCTGAGCGTGCGCGCGCCTCGAGCATGTTTGATCGTAGGCATGGTGGCGGTTGGGGCAGCGGAATCTTCTTTGACAGCGGCAGAAACGTGACGGTGGGCTTCCACGATATCCTGGACGGACGTGATGGCGATGAGGGTGGCGAGAACGTCGAGCGAGTGGGGGACGGACTGGAAAATGTCGAGCGAGTCGGTGAAGGGCTGGAGAACGTCGAGCGAGTGGGTGACGGGCTAGAGAACGCCGAACGTGTCGGAGATGGGCTAGCACAAGAATTATCCTGGCCCGAGCTCAAACTCAGCTTGTTGAAACCGGAGAACAGCGTAGACAGCAGAGAGCGCTGCTTCTTGTGTTTCCCAGGCTTGACCGACACCGGCTGGGGGAACATTTCCGGGTGGGGCTCGTACTTGGGCGTCGCCGCCACGCGCTCCCTGCGCGCCTCGACCTGCGACTGCACAAGGTCCGTGAGTACGCCCTCGAGCGCTTCCACGCACGCGTTCTGCGCCGCGAATGACCATTGCAGCGTCGGCCCGCTGATAAATGTGCACGACACTGTCTGCGAGACGAGGTCGAACACGAGCTGCTCGATGACCGCCGTCAGCCAGCTCGCTTTGTCAAGCATGTGCACAGTCGTTGGTGGGTCAAGGTCCTCTGCGTGGACGCAGTTCAGTTGCGCCGCCCAGCCTGCGGGAAACGCGACACGTTCGTACGGGTCAGTCAAGTTTACGGAATGGTAGAGGCGCGGGTGCGGGTCAGCGGGGAGCAGGTAGATGAGCATGTCGGCAGTGCGATGAGTCGGAGCGTATTAGGCAATTTGTGCGGTAATTAAGTGCTTGTGCCAGCCTGCGGATTAAGTCTACTTCGATGGGTGGAATACACCGTAAATAGGGGGGCCGACTGCTGCGAAGAACGTGTGAGTAAGAAGTTCACAAAATATGCAAAGAGAAACGAGTGAGCAGGCTTATTTGGGATATGCGACATGTACGGGACCGCCGTTCCGCTCACCGGCTCTGATGCCCGAAGTGCGCCATCCCAAAGCGGCCACCTGCGCCTGATGTGCTTTGCAGTGGCTGCTGCCGTGCGTGTATCATCTCCGACGAGACGCAACCTTGCTTCTGGGGTAGGAACCCGCTCGCCACCAGGATGTGTGATCCGTCAACCCCACGTTGGCAGTGTGGTGCCTCATAAGCGAAGGTACACCGTAACGGCAACATTCCAATATGCCTGGTCCCGCCAGGTATCGACACTGGGACGCATTATGGCTGTACGTTCGAAGCCGATCGCTCAAATGAAATGTAACATTCAGATACTCACATATACCAATAAACTTCACGCCACCACTTTAAGTCCGTTGATGAATTCTGATAACACGAGTACAAGGATCAATGAACAACGTCGCCCTGTGTAAAGAAACGTGCGCATGAGCAATGCGAATCAAATGAGACTGGGACTCGACCGCCGCATGACTTGTTGCAGGGCGCTTACAATGTGGCGGAAGCAAACGTGGAAGAAAAATTCACAGAAAATACGAGTCAATATACTCACCGCAATTACAGCTCTCAGCTCTTACGCTTGAAGACGATGACCGTAAAGAAAAAAACGGTGACAGGCGGACAAGGCAATGTTGAATTCCCAAGAACAACTCAGTTATGACGTCTGCGATACGATACGGGTAATCGCGGGGCCTTAAGGCACTGATCCTCCAGCTGACAGCTCTCCAAGAGCAAGAGAACTAGGTAGATCCCTGTGGGTGCCGTCCAGGACGTTGACGAGAGGGCAGGAGGAGACAGCGAGCGCAGACGGACGCAACCCGGGGAAGAGGGTCGAGGCATATTGGAGTATTTAAGCGTCAGCCGAGTGGCGGCTACTTGCGGCGGCTGATGCCCATATCAGGCAGGTCCCATCAGGACTTACTTCTGTCTCGGCCGCTCTGCCCAGCGGTTCAGCCAGTACGCGCTGTCTCATATCGCACTCGTTCGGAACTCTGCTGGCTAAGCACGCCGAAATGCAATTCAGATAAGACAGCAGTCACAGCGGCTGCCACCGGGGACGCCGCCTCTGCCAGCCTGAGCTTCTCTGCGAGCAGAATGGTGCAAGATGATCGCAGAACCTGATCCCATCATACTCTCTTGCCAGGCTCCGGATGAGGCAGCCTAGGCCGCCGACCTCACTTCATGAGGTCTACTCGTAGCAAAGCCTACACCTCGTACATCAAGCCAATAAGTCCGATTGTCCTGGCAAGAGTATTGTAACGACAGTGAACAAAGGCGCCCATACTAGGTGTTAATTAACTGCGATTTACAGCTTCCTTCTTGAATCTGAAACAGGATCGGCACACAATTTCTCACATGCAACTCGCTATAACGCCGGGCACCCGACGCGCCAAATGCAATCGTCGGTGGACAATGTCTCTGCATTAGGCAAGTGCTTCCGAGAGCGATTGACATTTACCAATATTTGTGTTCAACGCCACACCCTTAACAAGATATCCGATTGCCAAAACCCTTGTGCAGATCTGCGTCAGCTTGAGTGTCGTAGAATCTAGCAGATGTGTAAACCGCCGGATGTGATGTTCTTGACGCTAGGCAAGTACTTTCGAAAGCGACTGACATTTGCCAATGATATTTGTATTCGGATATCGCAACCCCAAACCCTTCACAAACATCATTTGCATTGACCTAAGTCTCATATCGATTGTGACTTAGTGCGTTCGATATCCAATTTAGGCTTCACTTACTACAAATTACTACAACATTGTTGTCCGAGGAGCACCGGCAGGCACTCTCCAGGGTCACAGCGAGTAATGTTTCCGTGCATGAAGACAGAAATGTAGTGCAACGACGCCATGCCTTGTGGGTTCATCAGCATTGGTGCCCAACACGAGAATAATGGGGGCATAGCAGGATCTCAGATGCATCTCGCACACCATGCTGCTCTTGCACCTTTGGCATGGCTGCTTTGACGCCTCGAGCTTCATCCAAGCTTCAGCGCTCAGCTCTATTTCCTATAAAGTGAAGCTCGTTTCATTCAAAACAACCTAGACTTAGGTCACTGGGTTACCACAAATACACTCTAATACATCTGATTGCCGAAATCGCTGTACAGACCGGTGTCAGCTTGGGCATCGCAGAAATTAGCGAATACATGTACCTATTCGTTCGCCACCAGCGGGTCTCCCACTTCAATCGAGAAGCTCTATGATCCGCGCAACAACACCCTTCATGACCTCTGCCTTCTCCCTACCCACAGCCAGCACCTCGTCATGCGACACCGTTGCCGCCTGCACCTGCGCGACCGGTCTGCCGGCCAGCTGCATCCAGCGCCTTGGTCAGTCGGGACGCACATGCCTTCCACGCCAGAAGTACACGCACCTCCGCCTTCACCTCCTCCTTGATGCTTCTGTACGCCTCTGGGATCACGACTGCGTTCGTGACCAGACTCAGCACGAGCACCTCCATACCCTCCTCGCGCGCTGCAAGCACCTCGGGCACCGTGCTCATGCCCACGACGTCCGCGCCCGCTGCGCGCAGGAAGCGCCCCTCTGCCGGCGTTTCGTACGTCGGCCCGGACACCCATGCATATGTGCCCTCCGCAAGCGCCGCGTCGGGCAGCGCAAGGTCATGAGCAGCGAGAAAAGCGAGACGGCGCAGCTTTGCAGAGTACGCATCGGAGAGCGGCAGGAAACGCGGGTGATCCGGCGACGAGAGCGGTCCGAAGAGCGCGTTCATGCCCCCAGTCATGTTGGGGATTGCGAGGTGGTCGTGGATCACGGTGACTGCCGCGGCGTGTGAGCCATGCATGCACGATGATGCGTTGCTCTCAGCACTCACTTGTCCCCACCGCGAAGTTGGGGTTCAAGGCGCCGGCAGCGTTTGTGACTGACCCGGGACTAGTGAGCCGTGGGGACATTCGCAGCACACGGCTCACTCACTGATGATGTTCTGCACCCCAAGCTTGGCGAGTACCCGGATTGGGTATGTCACCGTCGACAGCGAATGACCCTCATAGGCATGAAACTAGCTGGGCCCCGGTTAATGTGCATGCTAGAAGCGACAGACACATAGACATACCCGACCCATCATCGCAACGACAGGGACACCCGCACCGGGCCCAAGCAGTCCAAACGCGAGCGCACTCTTATGCCCAGGCACTACAACATCCCACCCCCCATAGCGCAATGAAGATCAACGCATAGATGATGAGCAACGTCCCCATGAATCCGCACAGGAAGCAGGCCTACACACCCGTGCTTTTGCCGAAGCCCGCCAGCGCCGAGTATGGCACTTGCACTGCGTCCCGCAGGGTTGAGGCGAGCGTCGAGAGGCCAGATCCGCAGACGATCCCTACACGAGGCTTGCGGAGGTGCGCGGGGAGAATGCTGTTGAGCACATCCAGAGTAGAGGAGAACGTATCGGGCGTGGTGCTAGACATGATTAGCGTTCGAGAGTGGTAAAAGTGAAAGGCGCTCTGGAACGGCCTTTAAGCCATGTCGCGCAACCTCAAGGTTCAGACTTCCAAACCCGCCATCAACACTTAATTTGCCATTCAGCCCAGCAGTTTGTTTTCGCATACACAATATCCATACAGGTATATCACAAAAAATAGAGACTAAGTACAGCACGAGAGGCGGCCTCGGGCCTAAGACGCAGAGGAGTTCGTACCAGATACAACAAATATGGTGCGATTCAATCGATGGAGCCTAACAGTAAGAGCGAATATAGATCAGGTTGTCTGTAGACAGATGGAACTCGACATACACAGTCTGCGGTCGCTGCCCTAGTTGGAAAGCCCAATGAAAACCATGTGAAAGCGGTCGGTCATGTGATCGCGTAACAGCGTGTGGCGCGACGAGCGCCACCTCTCCTTGCCATACCACGAATTGCCAAGTCTGTGTGTTGTCTCCTCTGCTTACCGTGCTCGCCGAATGAATCCATACGATGTATATCTGGGAGAGGTTCATCGCAGCGTGGTGTACCACCATAATTGGGATGCCAACGACACCGAATCGATTCCGCAGAAAGTGAGGGAGTACGCTCACCTTCTGAGAGACGCATTCGAACTTCCAGCGTGGGTGAAGGAGGTAAGACACTGGATATCTACTCTCGCTCGCCACTAACAGGAAATAGGGTCCATATCCGTGGCTGTACCCTCGAGTAATACCATTAGTGCAGGAATTACAAAGCTCGTCTCGCACGATGTGCCGATCTGGGGCTTGCGGAGATGGCGAAGACGGCGAGAAATCATGGGACACATCCCTGAGGCGGATCTTCAACACCGTTCTTGACGACTGTGCCAGCTTGCGAAACGTCCTCTCTGCTGACGAGGAGGACGGCGCATGTAGTCCGAAGGAATCGTTCCTCTGCATATTGGTTCGGAATGCGCTATGCATCACCAGACGAGATCTGGTTGTAGAGTACGTGCTGTTGATCTTCCGACGGCCGCGCATGAATTCTAATCGGACAACATCCGCAGCGAAGAGGCTCTGGTTGCGTTGCCTCGACATTGGAGTGGGGAGCTGAGCCCTCTATTCCGCTACATGAGTACTCGCGTCTGCGCCCCCCTGCTTGTGTCTATTTGCGCAGATGTCCCCGTGGATTCACCAACGCTCGTCCCACAAGACGAGTATCGAAGCGGCGGGTCTGTGTCGACTAGACGCGTGGGTAGTGGCGGCCACGAGGATGTTCGAAAGAGCACCACATGCTCATCTCGCGGTAACAGCGAGGCTGCTGAAAGTCCGGGCCCAATCGAACATCCTGATTCTCTGCCGGTTCATATCGTGCCGGAACGCGATCTATCGGTATCAGAATGGCTCCGACGTCCCGTCGTGAAGGAAATAGTCTACGAGCAGGACACTGAAGATGAGGAAGCAAGCGAGGATCAACGATGTCTTTCCGAGCTCAACTTGCATGTGCTTGACTGCCCGCGAGACCGGCCACTCCCCGTCGATGCTGCACTGCCTATTGTGTGCATGGCCGAAGGGGACGTGCTACCTGTCATCATGGCTAGTGCGTTGTATCAGCGGCATGTCTGGCGTGTTCAGGAGCCACTAGTAGGAATCTCATTCAAGCGATATGATACCTCGATTTCTTTCCTTTTGGGGTGGATTGAAGCGGCGAAGGGCGATGGCCAGCGTCTGGTGAGATCAAGATTGTCATCCTGGTCACGGCATGGGACTGACAATGCTGACGATAGCCTCGTGTGCATATAGCACGCATAGATTATCTACCAAACATCGACCTAGCGAATCCGGAGTGCGTGCTGATTGTCACGCAGTTCTTCCTCCATCTCCACGGCTGCATCGCAAACATCCAGAACAACATCGCGTTATCACGATCAGTACTAGCGGAAGAGCTCCGGGGAGAACGTCTTGTCCGCTGGAGGGTTGACTCAGCGACTGCTTCCGAGGATGAGGACTGTATTGGGGACCCTGAAGATCTTGTCTCGGTCTGGCTGCATGGCCTGGAAGACTCCGAGACGTTTTCGTGAGTTGCTTATATAGTGGATCATTGACGACTGTCTCACCATTTAATCAGCCTCCCTGCTTCTGTGATGCCTGCGTCCAAGCGGCCGAAACCAACCTCAGTAAAATCTGAGCCACTGCCACCGGCGCGGCTGCTATCAGCTGGCGCGCGATCACCATTGTGAGTGTTCGAGGATCCAACGTACATTTGATCTCATCAGTACCACAAGCAGTGATAATACGTCGGCCGTATCGGAGACGGGGAAGGGGCCCGAAGAGTCTGTGAGCACTCACAGCGATTATGCTGTGGTTGTGCTGATTGTCATTTTCTGCTAGGTTGAAGGTGTTGCTCCGTTCCTCGTAAGAACTCAATTGTATCATTCCCGTTTTATGCACTGACAGACGAGTAGAATTCAGGGTAACAAGATACCTCAATATGATGTATATCAGCCGTCAGAGGCATGTCCTGAGTATGTAATTTTTCTTGTCTAACAAAGGTGCAGCTGCTGAAAAGTTTTCTAGCTTCTGTAAACGTAAAGTGAAAGAGCCAGAACATATAGTAGAATGGCTGTGCGACAGGAAGGCTTGCCTCCTGTCCCGTTTATCAGACACTCTGATGTCCGACATCTGCGAGTATACGATGTCATTTTACTGGCCTCAGGTCTGGGGTTCGCCGGTGAGAGTCAATCCATGTCTGTGCTTGTGGCAATATATCAATGAACATTTAGGACGACATTCCCCCAGTCGATGCAAATGTAACATACCTTCTTGCTGAGTTCAAGTTACTGGTGGAGTCCCATCAGAAAGCGAAACGACCCACACTTGATACTCTACGCGAGAGGAAGTCCTACATGCCCCAACAGAACCAGGAGTCTTTCAAGGCTCAAAATGTACTTTGCCTATTCAGTGAAGGTTCCTCTGAGTCTGTGCTCTGGAAACAAGTGGACAAGCTTCTTGTTGGCAGTCTCTCGACGATACTCAACACATGTTCATTGGCGCGAGGTCGAGTCCAAGCTGGAATACCTCTAAATGAAGCGAGCTGGCGACATGATCTCGATCGTATTTTTTTCGATTTTCTCGCCACTGCCACCAGTCCTGTCGCACAATCCGACATGGATGAGCAAGATAATACCAAGGGGCAATGGAAAGTACATGCGATGTAAGTTGTTTGTTCAAGTGCTCTGCGAAATGCAAACTGATTGTAAGTGTGTAAAGCTTGGAGTGCATGATTGCGCTCCCTCGAAGTGTCTACGGTGGTTACAATTTGGAGGATCGCGGGGATCGCGAGTCTATCAAGCAAGATGCACGGAGATTTGTCAATACTGTTGATGATCTCTTTCGCGCTGACTGGAAAGACTTGGACGAGAACAAGGAGACTGTAGAGAGGGACATCCATCGCGGGCTGAGCGTACTTTGGGCGCAATGGCGAGATACACTGACGCCTGACAGCATCAAGGAACGACTGGCCATAAGTCCCACCCAGGCAAAATGCGATGCAGTAGGTCTTCTGCGCATGCCAGTATGCCTAAACCTAGACAAGAAGACTTTTGACTCGTACAAATTCATAAAGTCACTGTCGGCCCTCAACCCATCTCCATCACCTGCTCTAGGCACTGGGGACAGCCTTCAGCCTGCCAAGAAGAAATCCAATACGACAGCCCTTCCATCCAAGTCGAGTGTCATTAATTACATCACATTCAACTCCGCTGTACGCGAAACCTCGACACCGTATAGAACTTCCCAGGAAACTAATCAGGTATCATCCGAAAAATCTGACAGGGCCGGTCTGGAAGAACAAATGAGCAAGCTGCAGATGAAACACTTACCTCAAAAGACTGCACGCTCAGGGCGGCGTGACAAGCCTGAGGAAACATCCTACCTCGAGCTTCCACTAATTCTTGTTGAGTATAAGCGGCCCACAACGTCATGCGAGCAGGGCCAAAACCAGCGACGCCTATACTGCACCTCTGCAGCACGATTTTTGGAGGCGATCGGCATCGTCGAGTTTCCAATCTTTAGTGTTCTCTCCGATGGCCCGTATACCGTACTTGCTACTACCTGGGTCAAAGACGGCGTATGTCCAAGCATTGCTTACCTTCTCCATCGAAGTACTGACACATGCGGCTTTTTCCTTCAATACGTGTAGATTGTACAGATCTTCGAACGGCACATGGTGTCGTTCGATGTCTCCAACCCACTCGGCGCGTGGCATTACGCCACTGTGATGGCGCGCATTGCCGTCTTCTGGGGCACTGCATTGGGAGACTATTTTGTAAAGGTGCAGGGTCAATTTGAAAAAGATGCGAAGGAGGGCGATCGGAAGTTGCAATGGACACAGACCCACCAGGCGTTCCATCACAGTGCGACGACGGCTCCGAAGGCTCCACCGGAGACCACTGAGAATGCGACCACGACGTCCGGTAGTTAAGCTACGTATACGTGATTGAATTTTGTACAGACATAGCAAATGCGAGATTCTGCTTCCTAGCCCTGCTTGCTCTCACATATGGTTAGATTCCACCTTTTCGTTAACGTGCGCATATCATAAATGTAGACCGTTTCAGCCACCGCCAATCGCAGATCTGTCCATCGACATATAGTACAATATCGAACCTCCTAACCTGCTTCATGATCCTACAGTACGCCTGAAACCCATAAACCCCCACCAGAATCCAGCTCGGAGCGGGGAGCCTGGGGCATTCCTTGCGCGAACTAATGGGCTGCCGATGCTTCTCTTTCTATTTCTCTTAAGCTGGTGGCGACTACTTCGCATGGCCGAGCTGCACCTTCGAGAAGGCGTCCGCGAGGCGGCCATGGTGATCCTCGGACGAGTTCGAGCCACTGTGGTCGTCGTAGCGCACGACGTCATTCTCCTGAAGCGTCCCGTGAGTCGGCTGCGCACGAGCCGAATATCAGCCAAAGCAGCGCACCTCGTTGATGTGTTCCTTCTCGGACTCCTCCATGAGCTGCGCGAGGTTGTGGCCCCGGACGTGCTGCCCGGCGTGCGCGTGCGCCAACGTCGACATCCGGCGCATCGCCGTGATTGAGAACACCGCCTTGCGGACTGTACATTCATCCGTCAGCATGCACGGGCGTGTGTGTGATCTAATCCGAGCAGGCACTCACAAGTCTTCTTCGCGTCGAAGTGCCTCTTGACGTGCGGGAGCAGATCCGTCGGGCCGCCCGTCGGGCTCTGCGGGTCGGGCACGTAGTGCGGGAAGTCAGACGACAGCCACTTGTGCTGCAGCGCCTCCTCGCACGTTGGCCGCGATGCCGGGTCGATCGTCAGGCACGCCGAGACGAAGTCACGCGCGGTATCGGAGACGTTCGCCCAGTACTCCTCTGCGCGCGGTGTCAGTGCCTAATGCGGAAGAGAATGCGCGCGAGGAGACGTACCTGGCTCGAACTTGTAGTCCCCGGCGAGGATGGCCTCCATTTCTTGCTGTTGTGTGTCGCGGTCGAATGGGGTATACCCTGGTGATTGTAAGGTCAGGTCCTTCAAATGCATTATGTTTAGTAGTTCATACCGCAAAGCAAGAAGTAGGTGATAACCCCCATCGCCCAGACATCGACCGGCTTACCGTGTCCAGCTATGAAAACGTTAGACCCGCTCTGCAAACTTCGTGCATACGGCCAGTGACCTACTTTTCTTGAATATTTCCGGGGCCATGTACTACGAACCGCCGTGTCGTCAGTGCCGCCATCATCCAGAACGTATCGCTTCACTCACCCCAGGCGTACCGCAGATCTCAGTCAACAGATGGTCGTCCATAATACGACTCAGACCAAAATCAGCAATCATGATGTCCGCATCCTCATCTTTCGTACGGAAGAGTAGGTTCTCCGGCTTAAGATCTAGACAGAAGTATCAACACATATTGCGGCGGCTTCAGAAGGGGCAGCCGGTCGCCGCTTACCTCGGTGCACGATCCCGCAGCCGTGAACGTACTTGACAGCGGTGAAGATGGTCCGCACAAGGCCGGCTGCGTCTCTAAAGCGCTCAACATCAGATGGGCGGGAGAACGAGCGGAATGCGACACACGCTTCGTAGTAGTTGCCCTTGGCACATATCCGATCGAAGAGCTCGCCTCCGGTGCAAAGATCGAAGCAAAGATAGAGGTTGTGGGAAGTCTGCAGCCAGGATTGATCGTGGGTGTGTGAACATGACGATGGGGACGAAGGAGGCGCACCTCGAAGTAATCATGCAGCGTCACGATGTTTGGGCACCCCCTTGAGACTTTCTTGAGCACAGCGATCTCATTCCGCACCTGGAGGCCAATATCGCGTCAGATCTGTATTCACTAGCTGCCCAGTAAGGGCTCAATGAGATCGGGTGACAATAGCCAAGAGGCCTTGGATACCGTGGAAGATGGGACATGCCCATGGCAGAACGAGTGTACAGGCTGTAAACGGTCGACGTACCATGTACTCCCGACCCTCCATGAGCTTCTTGTTGATCACCTTGCAGGCATAGTACTCGCCGGTCTTGATATGGACGGCCTCCTTTACGATCGCATACGTTCCGCTGCCGAGGGTCTTCCCTGTGCGATACTGTGCGAGCTCAGCCACCGCGGCGTGGAGCGCGGACAAAGATGAACACACCTGGCAAGGGACGACTGCTGGCTGGGTCATTGCAATGTACGACGCGCGATGGTGGTGGACAGGAGAGAAAGGACGCGCGCGATAGGCAAGGGATGGCAACAGAGCGGTTAGATGGGGATCTATATATACGAACAAGCAGAAATCCCCGGACGCGGGGCACTGCGCAGAGACACACCGCTTCAGATTCTGCTCGCCCACCGGGCTGTGCCGGCCTGTCCTTGGATTTTTCCCTTCCTCGACCCTGCTCTGATGCTCTTTCTACCCTCTTTGCCTGCACCGACGCTCTCCCGGGCGATGCTGTGTTCTTCGGCGAGGAAATCGATGGGGTGGGCACTGTCCTGATGTCTCCGGCGCCCCTGTGTCGTTGCGAGCTGGATTGCGCACCCATGCGTGTAGAAATTAGGAGGTAGAGGGGAAACGATATCCGGTATGTACTTCCGAGGGTTTATATCCTGTAGTTCGGACCCGCACTTCACGCCACGACCGCACTGCGCGCTGCATGCGATGCCTTCCGAAGCACCCTCAGCCCCCGCAGCGGCTATTTCATAAGGGCAGTGTCTGAAACTTCCATTTTCTATACATATCCGGGCGCGCTACGTCCTCGGGTTCATAGTGCTGTGCCGCGGCTAGGGCTGTCAGATTCGTGCGTACGTGCGTGCAATGATAATGATGCATGCGAGCAAGACAGACATATCCACACAACCCCACATCCAGCTGCTACGTAAGCATCACAGCATGATATATACGGCTCACGCCCGGCGCGGTTCCCTGCCCTCTTGTGGCAGTGCATTTCGCTTCGGTTCTGGTCGAGACTTCGTTTAGCCTTTCTTTTACTGCCTTCGAGAGGCGTCTGCCCAGCGTCTGCCGATCTACTCTCAAGAGTGCGTCATCAGTATGAGCATATTATGCTATCGCTAATTGAAGTCTTATCGATAGTCTGCGACAGGCTCGATCATAAGGTCACCAGAATGCAAGAGAAGACTTCAATAGGTGGGCACTCGTGGTACTCGATCCAAGAATAACACTGGCCTGCGCCAGCATTTCAATATTCACAAGTGTATAGTAAGAAAGTTTGACATACAATCGCCCTTGAAGCTTGATCATCGGCAAACTCGCATGGCGGCCGACGTTATGCAGCATTTAAGTTTCAGAATTGCCGACAATAGTTCCACTTATAGGTTGCGCATTAATGTACAAATGTAATTGCACCAGCTCAGTCCAGATACCAGTCCATGTCTGTATGCAGAACGGAGACGATGCGTAGATGGTAGACGGATGAGATGGTTCGAGGCCTTCACAGGGTAGCTATATGTGATGTGTGGGTATGACCCAGATGCAAGGAATCCAAGGTATAAAAGGACCAGTCGTGTATGTGTGGGCAGGTATTATGGAAACAATAAACGGCACCTTCTGCGAGTCAACGTCCCTTGGGCAAGAGTTCGGTGAGCGACGGCTGCGAAGCCGTGAGTGCACTGAGCCCCGACCGTGCTACAGGCACAGCAGGCGGTTTCCGCCGTTTCGGAGGTGGCGGCGGAGTCCTCCTGGGTTTCGCGCTCAACGTCGACGACGAAGACGACGAGAGCAATGACACAGGCGAGTCCGGCTCCGTGGGTGACTGTGGAAGTCCCGGCCCGCCACGCGGGGGCACGCTACGCACAGGGTGCTCGGTCGGCTCGTCCACGAGCACGGTCGTTTCTGGCAGCGGATATGACCGCCGCTGCTCATGCAGTGCGAGTGATACTATCGCTGCCGTGGGCGCCTCTGCGTCTACTGACCCCGCGCGGTCGCGGCGTCGAGACACTGCAGACGTCGGCGCAGACGTCGTCGCAGCCTTTGGCAGGCTGCTTGTGCTGTCCGCGCTCGGCTGGCGCAGGCCGTCGAGCGGGCCATGTCGCCCCTGCGATGGGCCTCGCGCGTGGCCCAGGTTGAGGAGGTTCTCCGCACTGCGGCTCGCTTTGTAGTTCTTTCCGCGGATGGAGCCTGAGCGCGCGCGCTCGGCGTATGCAGCCATGCCGTGCGGCTCGGACATGACGGAGGATGGGCTGTCAACGCGGGGTGGTGCGCCCACGCTGAGCGTCTTGCGGAACTGCACGCACCAGTCGCCCGAGAGGCACCGCGCGACGAGGCGCTTTGTTGTCGGGTCGATGTCATGAATAGTCTCGTTTTCGACGAGCGATTCCAGTGTGCGGATGACCTGCGCACGCTTGTAAGGCATGGTACGCAGTTGCGTTTTGGTGAGCAGGGGATGTAGCACGCGCAGATAGGTATGTCGCAGCTATGGAAAGGCATGCTTCAAGTGATATCACGGGTTCAGAGTGAACAGCGCTTACCGACTCATTATCTTCGTCGATGTTTCCGATCTCCCTCAGGAACACATCGACCAATACGCGGAGGTCGTTTGTGTAGAAGTACTCTGACATGCCCTCAGTCGTGAACAGCAAATACAGCAACTTCAGAACGAGGAGTTGCATGCAAAGGTCTTCAGGCGTCCGGTCTTCATGAGGTCACAAGATGAGCAGTGGCAATAAGACGCTACGTCATGACTAGCTTACCGGCGCGGTTCAGCATGAATATCATGTTCTCACCAAATGTCATGCTTGAACCCTGGCGTGCCATGAGAACGCGCAGGACACGGTTCTCACCATCCGCCTTCTCTGACTTCTTGTGTTCGAGCGCAGGTTTCCCATGCACGTGTGGCGGATGTGATGGTAGGGAAGCGACCATGAATTGCTCGTTCAGAGCCACCTGGTTCTGTTAGCAACTGTTCACGGTATGGAAGATGTGAACGTACAATCAACTTGATGACCGAGTAGTTGAACGTCTCGTCTTGCATATGGCGTGTCTGCTCCACAAGCTCGAAGAGGTAGTCAATGAAGGTATCGCTGAATATTTCTATGGCCGGGTAAATCAACAAGACGCGACGGGCCTTGGTGCGAAGTAACCTACCGAGCTCTGGTAGCGAGAGCTTCTGCACTCTGCACACCTCGTACAACAGACGGACCGAAAGAGATCGAAGCTTCGCCTCAATCGGTACAGCAGTCGCCGCCTGTCCTCCAGAGCTGCTACCGGTCACCAATCCAGAATACGTGTCTTCCACTCCAGGGTCGACGTCCAAGACTACATTGTCCATGAGAAGTGGTAGCAATGGCTGCCACCGCTTCTGCGACCGCAAGAAGCTCATGTTTTGCCGGCCATATGCGAGGAGCACACTGTAAAGAATGAGCTGGAGATGCGGGTCGGTGGCCTGTAGCACGACAGGTCTCAAGCGTGAGTGTGGAATAAGATCAGCTTGGAAGAACGAGCATACGTTTCGTGCATCATCCAGGAGTATATCCGACATACGCTCAGAATGGAAGGCGAGTAGCTCCGATGCTAGGAGAAGGTCATAAGCATGCTCCATTTGCAGCGGACTCTGTAGGTACTGTTCTGCAGGCAAATTAATCGACGCCGTGGCGCACGACAAGATGCGGCGTTTCTCACCATGGTAAGCGGCACAGAAAGAAACGAAACGGCGTAAAGTTGCATCCAGACGATCTAATGTGAGACGATCTGGTATATGTAGGATGTCCTCCAGCTCTGGTCGTTGTTGAGCGATATGGGTGACCGTAAAATACGTGGGCGCGTACCTGACCAGAATTGCTGTGCGTTCTCGATGATGTAGACTACACCGAACACATCCATCGGCGACATTGTGATATGCCCGCAACCCGAGAGGATCAGGATGAGTGTATATGGAGACGGATTAATTAACAGAAGTCTAGTGTAGATGGTAGACGAGTCTTGAACACGGATAGGAAGAATAAAGACGTAGGATGTTCAGGATCATTAATTGGAGCCAGCTGCGCGCTTGTCTCTCAGAATGTTTTCACGTGATTCAAAAGTTAATGGGCGCTTATACTGTCAAGGGACAGATGTCTCTCAAACTCTCCCTAATAGGGTCGCGGTCTTGGATTCTTGAATTGTGCGCCTCCTGCCTCCTCCTGTTTGCGACGGAGCTCGTTTCATGGTGTTGAAGTGAACGCCATCATATTACCTCTTGTAAAAACACGGCCTGGATCTCCGCTGTCGCAGCCATGTTCGATGGTTTGTCCAAATTAGTCGCATCACATCTGGGGAAGAAGCAGCCTTAGATTTTCCAATCATTCGAAAGACTCATCGACGTTGTGGTGATAGTCAAGGTATTCATCCTCGCTGGGATGAGCCAGTCAACCAGACCTTACTGACAGAGTGTATGCGCAATGTGCGTGTACCGGGCAACTCTGGAGGATTGTATATCTGCGGACTGCACACTCGTACCTCGCCAGTGCAGAAAATCAAGGCCTGCTTTGGTATATTTTTCTTCTCATCGTACGTGCCACCTGCTCTTGATTTTGTCCTTCAATCCGGCTCTCTGTACAACCTCGGCCGCTCTGACCCGTAGCTCCCGCCAGACAGCTTCTTCGTCCATTGTAAGCACCTTCCCTCCTCTGACAACCTCCTTCCCATCCACAACCACAAGTTCCACATCTTTCCCCGTTGCTACGTACACCACCGCGCTCACCGGGTTGAACCACGGCTGCATACTGACCTTCCTCGTATCTATAGCCACGAAATCCGCCTTCTTCCCTACCTCAAGACTACCAATCCGGTCGTCCAGACCGAGCGCCCGCGCCCCGTTGATCGTCGCCATCTCGAGCACCGTCTCCGCGGAGATGACCGTCGGGTCCAGCGTGCGCGCCTTGTGAATGATACCCGCGAGCTTGAGCTCCTGTAAGAGGTCGTTCGTGTTGTTGCATGGAGCGCCGTCCGTACCGAGCGCGACATTCGCGCCAGAGCGTAACAGCTCAGGGAGGCGACAAATTCCCGACGCGAGTTTTGCATTTGACGTCGGGCAGTGCACGACATGCGTACCTGACGCTGCAACTGCGGCGATATCATCGTCATCGAGGTGCACCATGTGTACGAGCACGGTACGAGGCCCGAGAAGGCCTACGGAGTCACAATACGAAGAGGGCGTGTCTCCTCGCGATGCGAAGAAGTCACGGTCCGCGAGGACCTCAGCGCAGTGCATCGTGATTGGTATGCCCTTTGTACGCGATAGCGCCGTCATCTCTTTGTAAAGCTCATCGGAAACCCTGAAGGCACGCCACGTGAGTACATTCAGACGTGTCAGGAGGTATTTGATAGTGGCCGGACGCACCCGCCTGGTGTTCTCGCACCAAACCACACGCGGATACGTCCATCTGCCTTACCATCCCACTTCTCCCACATATCAATGGCTCCACCTAGAGAGGCGTCGCGCGTCTCGACTAACCCTGGGTGCATAGCCCACTTCGGATCTTGTGCGTACGTAGGCATATCCATAACGATCTTCCCGAGGCATCCTCTGATGCCGCTCTGCTCGACCGCCCGGCAAAGCCCATCGAACCCATACCTATCTGCGAACTATATGCAATCGCGCAACTGCTGATCAGCAGGCGAACGCGCGATGGGTGCAGAAGCTCACCATGCTCTCCAAGAAACATGTCGTACCCCCGCGCAGCATTTCGACCACACACCCTCTCGCCGCCGCCTCGCCATCTTCAGGTGTGAAGTTACCTTGAAGAGGCCATATCCGCTCACACAGCCAATGCACCAGCTCAAGATCGTCTCCCGTGCCGCGAAGAAGAGTCTGCGCGCAATGCATATGCGCGTTCACTAGCCCTGGTATGACAATGCGATCTGTGAGATCTGTGGTTGGCTCATTGGGGTATTGGGCGAGCAGCATGCCAGTCTTCTCGATGGCGACAATGCTGGATCCTTGGACAAGGATCGCACCGTCCAGTAGGATCTCACGCGACGAGCTGACAGTGATTATTGTCGCGTGTGTGTACAGCATCGTGAACCAAAATCCACACGGTCAGGCTTTTAGGTGGCCGTCGAGAGTGTCGCGCTCGGCTTTTATATGAGTTGTGTACACGTGAGATATTGGCCTTCATCAAGGCACAATCCAGGACGCCGATTTTGATGTTAGCCGCAGAGCCCGGTGAATCAAACGAGTCTTATCGTGTTCGAAAGATAGATGCATCACGCATGCAAAATGTTACTGGGACAGGTAACTGGCCTTTCTCGTGCGGAAGTCCACCATTTGTGTTCTCATGCGCGTACACCCACGTCTTGTAACCTATTTAGCTTCTTGAATGGGATCAATGGAAATACACCTTTGGCAGAGGTTCAATGTCTGTGTGCGGTTTCTATCGTTGAACATCCACGACCGTCTCGTGCATTCTGTGATTCTCGGCCGTTCAAAACTTGGCGACTTCGCTAGTGAGTCAAATGCGTATGTGCGTAGAACATGTGTAGAAGCTGCAAGTGTACTAATAGGGTGTACTGGAATTAGTAGTGTCATTTTTCAGTATTCATTCACCGTTGGAGCGTAATGTTACTTAAGTGTTACCTAAGCATAAATAAGCATATCTAACTATCCAACTTAGATTTTCGCTTCATTGACCGCTGCTGTACCGCAAATTCAACGTATCCAGACTTTGACCTTAGTCCTCGTACATACTGCCATGACATCGTATAAGCGGTGGTATATACTGGCAACATTATTGTCGACATCCAGTGTGGGCTCATGCATATGAAATTCCAACTCGAAGGAAAGGTGCACGGGTAGTCGGGTACTACCTACTCCGAATGTCGCGCGTATTTTACGACCCAATCCCTTGCACATTCCTCCATCATGCCGGCTCTGGTCTTCACGTCCAATGTGGTCTTACCAGACTCCAAAGCATTCATCACGCAATTTAGCGCGGTGAGGATCGATGTGAATGCAGCCTGCCTGCTCGACCGCTAATCCTTCAGGCAGTTTGCAGCCAAGACGCTGAAAAAAAGCGAAGACATGGTCTCTGTGTCTTACACTCACAATGGAACTCTCGCCTTCGGAGCTACTTTCGATCCGACATTTGTGCTTGAGATTGTAGGTACTCTTAGCTGTTCCGCTGTAAAGATAACACAAGAGGGAGTGCTTTGACCGTCAGATCAGCATAGGCAACCTTGACGAGGTGCAGAACAATGAATACAGCAAGGCGTTCTTCGCATTCCTTTCGGAGAACCTCGGCGTGCCGCATGAGCGTGGCTATATGTCGGTTGTTTGCTCGTTAACCGCGATTGCTAGCTAATTCAATGGTGCTCTGTCCTCAGCACGTTTGCTGATCCTGGATTGATTAACATGGGGTATGTGTGCGTGTCATTGCTAGCTGACACCTGTCCCATTATTATCCCTTGCAGCTGGAAATCGGCGACTATTGCCCACTATGTCGCGACAGGTGGTCTGCGGTAGCAGCCACAGCTGTAGTCGACAGTAGGGCAACGCGAGTGATACGTCCCATAAGTAGAGTCTGTGTAAGATGTCCTACGCAATCATAGCCCTCAATATCGTGCCCAAGCCGGATGAAACTTTACAGCAACCCCAATTTCAGCACAGTAGGTCCTTGAACTCGAAATTGTCCCCAACCAGTCGACGGTGAGACAGGCGTTTATGAGTTTGCCGGTCACAAGCGCTGATGCTCACAGGCACCATTCAGGGGATGCTGAAAGGTCATATGTCATAATGACGTATCCAGACTCGAGAGCCAATCGCGCATTAGACTGCATCCCCCTGGTTGCGCAACAACACCAAGGCAAGATCGTCACTAGCCGAGACTGTTCGTTCCTCATGTCGTAAGCGCTCGGCTGATGGGGTCGACGAACAGGTGTTCAACACCCGGTGGCTATGACAAGCTTCCGTAAACCTTGCTGATCTCGCACCAGGCCAAAGCCAGCAGGTTTCATGCGTGGCTCGTGTGAAAGGGGCGTCTCGACCTCCAGGTCCGAAATAAAAGCCGCGAGTCGTTCCCATGTGCTGCTGGCTGCAGTTACCTTCACCGGAGAACGCCTCCGCATTGACGTGGGCCTGTTAACATGTTTGTCGCCGCTACATGCAGCTTGCTCGTTTCTTCGATCGCTTTTGGCATTGCCTCTGCGGCAGATGGTCCAGATTTGTACAGAAGGGACGCTCTTTCCGTCTGCCAGGAAATCGCCAGTGCGATTTCCTCTGCATCGGAAGTGTTCTACCCACGTACGTGCTCATGACATCCTCCTTGGCATCGTTCAGAAAAACCCCACCTCTGACAGTGGAATGGTACTACACCGAGGACATTGCACACTATATTTCCTCAAGCGAGGAAAACGCTACCTGCTCTGTCGAGCCGGGGACACCTGAGGACGTCGGGATTATCGTAAGACTTTGGGCCCCATTTCTGAATTCTTGTCTGACACCAGGCATGCAGCTACAAATACTCGCGAAGACACAGACGCCTTTCGGAGTAATAGGGATGCTTCCCTTCTTCTACCGCCTCATCTCTCATGCGCTTGTTGGCAGGTGAAAGGCGGTGGCCACGCCTCAAACCCGGGATTTTCGTCCACCGCTGGCGTCCAGGTTGCCATGGCAAGATTCAACGGCGTAACATACAACTCGGATTCACAAACCGTCGATATTGGCACAGGCCTGATCTGGGATGATGTGTACTCAGCGCTTGAGCCGTACGATGTGAATGTAGTTGGCGGCCGAGTGACCGGAGTGGGAGTTGCCGGCTTCACCCTGGGAGGAGGCAAGTCCCGATCACCACACAATCTCCGCTTGCTGATCATACTGGTTCGGCGAAGGTTATTCGTTCCTCTCAAACCAGTATGGTCTGACCGTCGACACGGTGACAGCATTCCAACTTGTGCTGCCCAATGGGACCGTTAGCAGCATCACGCAGTCCTCGAACCTTGATCTATTCTTCGCATTGAAGGTGAGGCATATGTGCTTGTCTCCATGCGGTTGGTTCACACGCATCTGTCAGGGTGGTTTCAACAATTACGTCAGTAGCATCCATAGCACATGTCCGATGCTCGCGCTTGACCTAAGTATAATTGTAGGGTATCGTAACACAGTTCACCCTCAAGGCTTATCCGCAAGGTCAAGTCTGGGTCAGTCCATCCCATGCGTCGTCCTTGCGGCTTGCTGACCTTCGAATACAAGGGCGGCATCATTCTGACTGTTGGAGAATTTGACCTGCTCGCAAACGCTACTGCGAATTTTTACGCCAACGTGACAGATCCTAAAGCCTCTATCATTTCGACTTTCAATTATGAGGATGGTATTGTACGTTGCTATGTTCTTGCAGGTTGTCCGGCGCTGATTATCTACGCTTTAGTTTGCTGGTGAAGTTAATATATTCTATGATGGACCCAGCCCACCGGATGGTATCTTTGACGAGTTTCTGGCAATTCCCGCTTTGGATCAAGATATCTCCACACGCTCATTCCTATCTCTCATTCTTACCGCACCCAGTAATGCCACGACTGGTCTTCGGTGCGTGTTCATCAATGCTCTACCATTTCCCCAGGAGTTCATCTTGCTGTGCGCAGGGGATACTTCGATACCGTATCGTTATACGAGATCACGCCATCCATTATGACCGCGGTTGTCAACGAGACCCAGGTGTGTATCAAGTACATGTTGAGTTGCGCATGTTCATCAAACGGCTTCTGGCCAGGCTCGTGTTGCGCAACTCGCGTTGGAAGTTCCTGGACTGTTCGTCAGCTACGACGTCGAACCATTCCTGCCCACTGCCTTCTCGCACGGCTCCGACACGGCATGGCCCCCGAGTCGTGACAAGACTCTTTTGCCGATGAACATCTACTACGCCTGGGACCTCCCTATATCCGATTCGCTGATCAATAGCGTGATGCAGACGAGCGCAAGCTACCTGACAGACCTTGCAGTAAGCGAGAACCAGGACGTCGGCGACGCGCCGCTGTATCCCAACTACGCCATTTACGATACGACGTTGTCGCGGTTGTATGGTGATAATCTGCCGAGGCTGCAGTCTATCAAAGCACAGTACGACCCAAACAACGTCATGGGACTCGCTGGGGGATGGAAGTTCTGAACAATGGTTGGCACGTAGCGAGAGCTCATCCGCTCACTTGCGAGGTTATGTACCTTATCATTTGTATGTACATGTCCAGGGACTATATTGCTAAATTTTATCGATCGAACGTCTCTTTTCGTATGCTACGTGCTATAGTACGTTCGCAGATTGAAGCAACCGCCGATCGCGAGAATCTGGGCAGTCAATAACGAACGTCATTGAGAAGACACGCCACATGCCATCGATGTGCACGGCATAGACGACACACTTGGGAGCCATTCCATAAGATGAGGCGGGTGAACACGTTTGACTTTCCTATCACTAAAAGTACATGGAATCCAGAGCACAGCATCAGAAGATATTCACAGCGAGCGAGAACGGGACTCGGAGCAAAGGAAGCAAAGAGAAATTCGGAGAGAGTGGAGTTGAGCCAGATAAGTTTATATCCCTCCACCAGTCTGAGTGTTGATGCCAAGGGCCTCCGGGAGGGTTTCTTCACAGGGACCCAAGAACAGGAAGTCTGCCTGATCATCCCTCTTGCTGCGGTCGACGTTGAACACCGCGACCTTCCCTCCGTGTTCCCTCACCTTCGTTGCCAGTTTGGCAGCCGGATGCACCTGCAATGAAGTCCTCAGCGCGTATATCTCAGAGCCCAAGAAGCCAATCCTCACCATCGATGACGTGCCGACGACTAGGCACAGGTCAGCCTTATCCACTAGTTCGAATATCTCGTCTATGTGGAACGGTATCTCTCCGAACCATACAACGGCCGGGCGCGCAAGCCCTCCGCACTTGGGGCAGCGCGGCAGGTCCTCAAGCGGAATGTCAGGCTCGCGCACACCCGCCTCGAGAAGTGCCTCCGTGCCACCGAGCGCGGGGCACACGGGGGAATCGGTGTTGGGCCAGCGATTCCCGCAGCCATAAGCGGTGCATGAGACATCAGAGAGCCGGCCATGCATCTCGAGGATCGCGGGCTGCGGCGCGTCGGGAGGAGCGGGGACAGGTTGGTGTAATACCTCGGCGGCGCGAGCGAGTGAGCGCCTGCTAAGGCCATCGACGTTCTGCGTGATGAGCGTGAAGGTGGATCCGGGCGCGATCGCATCACGGACACCAGGGAAAGAGAAGTGCGCAAGTGCGTCGTGTGCGGCGTTGGGCTGTGCTTTGAACACTCTGCGTAAAATCGCCAATTAGGTGCGCTAGGAATGTACACAGGCGGACGTCATGACGTACATCTCGCGACGATAGTGGTAGAACTGCCATACACGCGAGGGGCTGTCGCGGAAAGCAGCGGTAGTGGCAAGTGATACCGCGTCGTACTTACGCCACAATCCACCGGCCCCTCTGAATGTTGGTATACCTATCATGCGATTGCTCAGGAAATGGTTTCAAACATAAACGTATGGTGAGTACCAGAAGCAGAAGAGAGTCCAGCGCCAGCAACGGCGATTATATGTTTCGACGAGCTCAACACGTCCTTGAATGCAGCCATATCGTTTGACGGCAGTGACTGCGACTCGGTTTGAGAGTCCTGAATAAAGATTTCGTGCGTAGCAATGTTTGTAAAGAGCTGACGAAGACTGATGAGCGATTATTGTTAGCTCACCATGGTTGTAAACATTCTGCTTCACTTGTTTTCAACACGTTGATCACAAGATGGGTTGAATAAGAGGCGCCCATAATGCTACTTAAATTATGCTAATCAGATCTTAGATCTGATCTGATCATGTCAGGCCGCCGCGGCGGCGCTAATGTTTGAGTCTGCTCGTCGTCTGAAGCGATGAGTGCATGCGTTTCACAATTGCAACGACGCAGAGCTCAATTGTCTGTCACTGTCGAGTAGGCTATATGGATGCAAAGGTGTCGTTGACGAGTGTAGGAGCGTAACTATATGTATCGTCTTGAGACACTTTGTGCGACGGCCCTGAGAAAACTCCCTCGCAGCGAGCAGCGACATGAGCAGGACACGTGAAGACTCACCGTGGGTGTCGCTGACAAGGAGGATTGGGTAGACGCCGTCGGACGCACGGCCGACAACTTTCTCAACGTTATATATCGAGCAGACCTTGTTTTTCTCCCCTTGCGCGCCGTCATCTGCGTTGTTCATGATGAGTGCAATGTGGCCCCGCTCGATAGCCCACGCCCGGCTCGTGAGGCAGTCGCCGACGTCCGGCCTTCTGCGACGCGGCTTTGCTAGCAGCATGTCGAGAATGCGTGAGTCCGAGAATCTATCGCTATCTTGGCGCGGCGCTAACGGCCTGCGCGGACATATGGAACGGCCCCTCGACGACGCTAACGGCCTGCGGGGTAATGCGGGGTTACCATCGAATTTGTCGTCACCTTTCATGACGCCCATACTCAACTTGGTCCTTCGCAATGATGGCCCGGTCCGCGACTGGCAGAGGAAAAGATTACTGTGAAGAACCCGGTGGTAGAGCTGGATGGCGACGAGATGACGAGGATCATCTGGAAGAAGATCAGGGAAGAGGTGCGACGTCGCTTGCTTGAACTATCTGGACCGTTTCTAATGACTGTCCGCTTTTCAGCTTATCCTGCCCTATCTTCAACTGGACATCAAGTACTTCGACCTCGGGCTCGAGCACCGAGATGCTGTACGTCCACATCCATTTACCTGATTTTCTTTGGCACTCACGTCTTCGTGGAAAGACGGCAGACCGCGTGACGATTGAATCCGCCGAGGCGATCCTCAAGCACAGCGTCGGCATCAAATGTGCGACGATCACGCCCGACGAGGCGCGCGTGAAGGAGTTCAACCTCAAGCAGATGTGGAAGAGCCCGAATGGGACGATCAGAAACATCCTCGGTGGGACCGTGTTCCGCGAGCCCATCATCCTCAAGCGCATTCCGCGTCCCATCCCAGGGTGGAAAAACCCCATTGTCATTGGTCGTCATGCATTTGGTGACCAGGTGCGCGATTTTTTCTACTTGTACAGTGAAGCCCGTGAACATGCGCTCCTGCTGAGCGAATCATATATTGCTCTGATTACCATTCTTGGCTGCAATAAATGTTTTGCATGATTGCAGTAAGGTGGGGACAGCCGTCCAAGGGGCGGCCAATCGAAGGGGACCACTGTACAATGTCTAGGCGAGGGCGGCACACTAACTATATGCCTGGTCTTAGTACCGCTCAACAGACTTCGTCGCACCGGGACCAGGGAAACTCCAGCTTGTGTACTCGCCAGCCAGCGGCGGCGAGCCGACCGTCATGGATGTATACGATTTCAAGGGCAAGGGAGTTGCGATGAGCATGTACAACACCGATGATGTGCGCGACTCGATGTGCTTGCCTTCTCTAACTCTCTAACTGAAAGCATTGTCCTGTAGTCGATCACTGGGTTTGCACACTCGTCATTCAAGATGGCTCTGGCAAAGAAGCTACCTTTGGTGCGTACGGCTAACGCTTGCAGAAGCGACTCGGGACTCATAGCGTGTGTAGTTCATGTCAACGAAGAACACCATCCTCAAAAAATACGACGGGCGGTTCAAGGACATTTTCCAGGATGTCTACGAAACGTACGATTCATGAAATATCTTTTCGGACAATCCGTGCAAAACCTAACATCTACTGTAGCACCTACAAGCAGCAGTTCGAGGCCGCAGGCATCTACTACGAGCACCGTCTGATCGATGACATGGTCGCGCAGGCGATCAAGTCGTCTGGTGGCTTCGTCTGGGCTTGCAAGAACTACGACGGGGACGTGCAGTCGGACATTCTTGCGCAAGGCTTTGGCAGCCTGGGCATGATGACGAGCGAACTCATCACACCCGACGGAAACACGATCGAGAGTGAGGCGGCACATGGTAAGTATACGCACTGCAGGCTTGGTCGTGGTATTGAATTGACTGTGCAGGCACGGTAACGCGGCACTACCGTGAATGGCAGAAGGGCAATGAAACATCAACAAATCCAGTTGCGTCGATATTCGCATGGACGCGGGGGTTGCTACACCGTGCGAAGCTCGACGGTAACGACGCGCTACGGGTGTTCTGCGAGGACCTTGAGGCGGCGTGCGTGGAGACGATTGACCAAGACAACATCATGACGAAGGACCTTGCGCTCGCGATCCACGGGCGGGATATGAAACGCGAGCACTGGGTCGTCACAGATGTGTACATGGATGCGGTGAATGTGAGTGGTGTATTGTCGCACGCTGCAACCTACAACTAACCGAGGGTGAAATGCAGACGAAGCTGAAGCAGAAGATGGCTGCACGGGCGAAGCAGTAGACCAAATGAACGATATCATCTAACATGCATGCAATACATAGCTTGGTTTGCTTCTGTATGTATCATTGTATCATTGTCAGAAATGTACTGTAATCTCATGCGCAATACATCCACATGGGAAGTCCGTATTGTTCGTGAACGACAACCGCAAGGGTGGCGATCGGCAATCTATGGCAACATAACACCACTTATCTTGCTGCTCGATCAAAATGAAATCGAGATTATCGTATTCACCAGGCTCCTAAAACCAGCCCCACAATCGCGTTCTTCGCTCCTACATACGAGAGGCCAACTGGTGTTATATACGAAAATATAGAATCACGTGATTGATCCGAAAGCGAGAGCACGTGAGAAGTCAGAATAGCCGAGTAAGAGGAGGACGAACGCTATAGAGGGGCTGGCGCGACTGGTCGCCGAGTCATCCCCGAGTGCTGAGGTTTCGGCGTCTAAACAACTATTTCCAGCCCCTAACCCTGATGTAGGTCTTGATTTATTCCATTTGTGTGAGTGCGATGATCTCATTCGGGTAGGCCGCACTCTCCGCAGTCTCATGCACCCGCGCCTGCAAAGGCGCACGGGTTGCCTGAGCCGTATGAAGGGTATACATCATGGGATCGATGTATCGAGTGATATCATCGAGTACTGACCAGGAGGCCACATTGTCGCTGAGTAGCAGGGAGACCAGAAGTTCAGGTATGTTTATTTCATGTTCTTTCAAGCACTGGAGAAATGCTTGTAGACTGTCCGAAGAGAGGCATTGTAACAAATTATATTCTGCAGGCTATGATCTATGTAACTTCTTCTAATCTAGACACAATGTTGTTGAAACGCGCAGCCCTGCGTGGTCAGGAACGAGCTCGAAAGCTCGGGCGCGCGAGTAGCCGGGCCGGAGGCCCCTATCGTAGTATATAACGACCCCGCGCGATGTACATACCGCATGCGATTGTCCCTTACGGGCATCGCTACGCCCGTGGAGAAACGTGCCCCGCGCCGTTTGCACTGTTGTTCCAACAAATGTAGTGTCATGTATCTCATGACACCTGCACCAAAGGTAAGGAGTTGAATAGCGGATTTGACTTCTCACTTTTAATTGCGGTTAATGGGCCGATCAAGGCGTGCCAAATTGCAGCTGGAATTGCTACTCCGCAATCCAGCCAAAATAAGACCTACGTCAGGGTTAGGAGCGGAGAATAGTTGTTTGGACGCCGAAACCTCAGCACTCGGGGATGACTCGGCAACCAGCTGCGCCAGCCCCTCTATAGCGTTCGTCCTCCTCTCACTCGGCTATTCTGACTTCTCACGTGCTCTCGCTTTCGGATCAATCATGTGATTTAATTTTTTCGTATATAACACCAGTTGGCCTCTCGTATGTAGGAGCGAAGAACGCGATTGTGGGGCTGGTTTTAGGAGCCTGCGTATTCACGCAAAATGTCATTGAACACGGCATGTTATCACGGATAGCTATACTTTGACAAACATATAGATGCACTCAAGGCTCATTGTCAGGTGCAATCTCAACCGGAGCATCCCTCAGGGCGTGGTGGAGTGCCTGATGTGCCTGCGTCCAGCGCAACCTCGGGTTGTCTTTCTTCACACCCTCCACAAATCTATCCTTCACCTGCTCGAACCGGTTGGCCAACGCGGTGCCCCAGAACACAACAATGCGCACCATCACAGTGGCATAATGCCACGCACCGAGCGCGTTCGAGACGTCGAACGACGCCATGTGCTGTTCGAATATTTGTACAATCTTGCGGCACATGCGTCCGAGTTAGTACCTCGCACACAGCCCAATGTAAGCAACCACCCGGACGCACCCCATCCTTGACCCAGGTAGTCGCAAGTACAGCCAAGGGGCCATCCAAGAGAACACTGAAAATTGGGAACTCAATGATGCCTATTGCCTCCATGAATCGTGCCGCGGAGGTGCAGTGCAGGCACCGCTGATTTTGACTCTGGATGTGGTTCATAGCGAGTCCCTTGTACTCGATAAGGATTAGCAGAAGATCGAGGTAGGTCATTTCAGGCTCGTTATGCTGGCACCTAGAGCGTGAAGTCGTTCGAGGCAGGTCGTCAACCAGCAGCTGGCCTATTGCTTCTACCCGATCAGTGGCAGTCGACATCTGGACAGCCTCCTGGAAGTCTTTATATACGGCAGAGGAGTCGCAAGTGGAAGAGTCGAGTGGATTATAGTTAGCGATGTTGGGGTCAAGTGAAAAGGGTGACAGCGATAGCACCGCGGTAGACTGACGACCCTCCAGCGCAGCCAAGTCGTTGTTTTCATCACGCGGCCTTATGAAGCAGTATGGGCTGAGGATCTCCTTGGCTAGGCATACTGGCATGCGCAGAACACCTACTGCGCCGCACCTCGCCTGGGTGGAACTGATGGCCATTCTTTTCATGATGCGGACAGGCGTCAGTGAAACTTGCCATCTGCAATCCACAAGACAGAGTAGGCTATGATGGAGTTTCCTCTCTATGCTCTTCTCGTCCTCATTCAAGTCATTCCCATCAGCACAGCGAATATCAATGGTATTGACGAATTCTTCTGCTTCTTGCTCGATAGGATCAAGATCATTCAGATCATAACCACCATAGACACTTCGAGGGAGCGCAATAATGTGCCCCAAGCTTCAGACAGTCACAATCAGCTTGCATCTCTCAGAACACTTGAACAGACGACTTACACCGCATGTACTTTCCGTTGCCCCTTGGTGTTATCCTGCCCATCCATTTCGGATTGTAGGATGGAACTGATGACAGTGCTGAGAAAATCAAAGAAGAATCTATCCATATTGTAGCGCCAGCTTGCTCCGCTCGCTGATATCTCGCCTTGCATTTTCCCTCGTGAAGCCGAGCAAGTCGTCAGGATGGTCGACAGGCTGCCGACCAGTAGGTCATCCACCTGGCCCCACAACGCAGATTCCGTGAAACCTTCGTGGAATAGACACAACACGTCTTCGCCAGTGAATGACCACGCACAGCCCTTGTCGAACCTATACAGTTTCTTTGCCAGTACACTGTCAAGCATGGACAGTTGTCGCTCCTGACAGAACTTCACCAGCACCTTGAGCTCATCGAGGAGATCTGCCACATTTCTATCGACCGTAGGCATGTCATTCTAAATATTTGTCAGCCCAGCGCTACAAGTGTCACGACTTGGTACGGCGTCTAGCCGTTTTTTAATTTTTCCTTTTCGCGGGATCGAACCCGCGACCTCTGTACTACCTGCCTGATATGGACGCGTCACTATCTACTGTACGATTAGATTAGATGGGCGGCGGCGCACGGCACAGCTCGGGCTCCGCTGACACAGCTGCTCTGACTCACCGGCCCCCGGGGCCGCATCAGCATGCTGCGCACGGACCAGCTACGCACGGACCAGCGCGCACAGCCTGCCCTTATCTCCCCATGTATATAAGCCGGCCTCTGCTGCCCTAGGGACCTCAGTTTTGACCTCTTGTCCCTAGGTCAGTAAGCCCCAGTTGTATTCCTTTCTTACCTTACTAACTAATGCATTTACTTGTCCCTAGCCTTAGGTTTGAGCCTAGCTCACCATCGCTTCGGTAAGGATAAGTCGAACACCCCCAGCATTTGGTTTTCCCCTGTCGCTCGACCCTAAGTCGCGACATTAGGTCGAAACTCCCCAACGCTGCCGGCGTTCCAAAACAC